AACCGGGTTCGAGACGGTGTACAGTGAACCGCACTTCTACCAGTGGAGCTACGCCGAGGCGGTGGATCTGCAGGGCGAAGTACTGGGACGGTCACCGCCGCACTTCACCTTCACACCGTCGCCGGAACTGCAGAACTACTGCGGCGAGGAGCTCTGTGACAACGCTGCGTCATACGGAGTGCCCGGCGAGGACGCCGCCGTGGCATACGTGCCGCCGGCAGGGATCAACACGGTCCCTTGGGTTGATCCCGTGAATCCGCACGCTGACAACGGCGATCAGCAATCATCATCAGGATTAATATCATCCGAGACATCCCCAGACGGAGCGTCGGCGATCTTGAAGCAAACCTACCGTAAGTTGATTTTCTATTTTTTTCTCGCTTTCCTTTTTTGGACCTCCCTCCCCCTTGGCTGGGTCTAGTTACCGTCCCTTCCCCCCCCTTTGGTTGAAACCGTTTCAGTCGCGTTTCAGACAACGCTTCAACTTCCAGACTTGAAGGAACCCAAGCTAACCGCACTAGATCGTCTGGGATGGGCAGGCCCCGCCTTGTTTGTTGGGATCATCGTGGTGGGGGTGTTTGTCACGTTGCGGATATATCGACGGCGACGGTCGCTCTCTCAGTCATACACTACCAAGGAGCGAGAGTCCTCGGAGATGCTGGATCAAGAGCGTAGTAGGGCCATGATTGCCATCGGAGACTGGCCGTGGTGGCATTGGCGACGGTGGATAGGGGGACAGGAACCGGCACATTATTTCCCACTGAGGGAGCCGGACCCGGGGACGTCGCGGTAGATTTTGTAGTTCTAAAATGTATACATATTTTCTCTCTTTTCAATGTGCCTGATATTTACTCTCTACTGTCTGCACAGTAAACATTGATGAAACCGCGTAAATAATAAGAAGTGCTCGGCGAACGGCAGACGCACGGATAGACGGCAGCTCTTTTGATTTTATTTTCTTCTGCTAAACTTACAATTTACAACCAAGTGGAAACGCGGAGTTGCGTATTCGTTTAGGTTAGCAGCTTAGCATGCTTTAGTGCTGTCTTTTAGTCTGGTGGTTGTGGAGGAGCTCCGTGGTCGGGTTGTGGTTGTGGCTGGGATGGAGTCATGACCACGTAGACTACGAGACGTACGCAGTACATATTGAACTATTTATATGCTGACTGCTGACGAGAGGTGCGTATGCATATCGGTGGTTGCAGGTGTGATAATGTTTATTTGTGTTGTTTCTATTCTTGTTTTTAGTATCTTCAGGTTCGGCTTCAATCTCCGGAGATGGATGAAGTGTAAAGCCTAAAGCCTCGAGTCAGGCGAATGAGGTAATGGGGGAATCCACCCTCCGGAGTGCCAAATATAATTAATTATTAACGTCGGCAAAGAAAAGCGCAGCTGCCAAGACTTCCGGGGTGGAGACGGCGTCGCAAGCCACTCGGTCTAGTTGGACTTTAAATCTTCAGATTAAATATTTAATGTGCTGTATTCCGTACCGTCATCCGTACCGTACACCGTCCCGCCGGCCCGTATCGTCGCGTATCGTCCGTGACCCCGTCGGACTCCACTCCATCTTCTTTCGCCCTCTCGCTTCATCTTTCGTTCTTCCCGAACTACATCTCCGTCCATCCCGTCGCTCTCTCTTTGCTTCTTCCGTTCTTTTCTTTTGCGTGTTTCTGGCGGTGTCTTTCTGCTCATTCGTTCATTCCTTTGATTCGCTCGGACATTTTTTTTTCCTCGTCTCCTCGTTTAGACTTCCACTTTCCCTCTCATTCGTCCCTCCGACTGACGTCGCCCTGCTAGCCTGGCGCTATTCCCACGCGTACTCTTAGACCTTCTCTTGCGCCCTCGATGTCCCAAGGAACCGGTCGTCGGTCATTCGCGGGAAGCGCCTCGCCTTTATCTCCCGGCTTTCCTCCCTCCGCCACCCCTTCGTCCCATCTGAACAACCACAAGAACCGGAATGCCCGCCACACCCGCACCACTTCCTGGACAACCGGTCACGACCAGAACGCCGATTCCACCCAGCGCCGTCGTCGCGAGTCCAACGTCTCCCTCGACGACGTCTCCGAGGGTTCCTCCAACCAGTCCCCAGAGCACGATCCCGCCACTGCCAGCATGGCCCTCAGAAACACCTCCCTCGATTACCCCGGCCATGCCCGCAGTCGCTCACAAAGCCAACCGCAATCCGCCCTCCTAACACCATCGGAGCCCTTCGCCGGTGCGCCGGCAGGAGCGCCGCCCGCACCCCGGCCCGGCCCGGTGACATGGATGTCTCTGCCGCAGAAGAAACAACTGGCGTTGCTCGGGCTGTGTCGCGTCTTCGATTTCCTGCAGATAGCCTCCCTGCAGGCCTACATGTTCTACCAGCTCAAGTCGTTCGACGAGAACCTGTCCGACTCGGACGTGTCGACGCAGGCCGGTATCCTGCAGGGCGCCTTCACCGCGGCGCAGTTCGCAACTGCGATCCCCTGGGGTCGCGTGGCCGATGCCGAGTGGGGAGGTCGCAAGTTCGTTCTGCTGGTCGGGTTACTGGGCACGGCGGCCTCGTGTCTCGGGGTTGCCTTTTCGACGTCATTCGCGCAGGCCGTGTTTTGGCGTTCGTTTGGTGGTGCGATTAACGGCACCGTCGGGATCATTCGGACGATGATTGCGGAGAATGTCAAGGAGAAGAAGTATCATTCTCGCGCGTTCTTGATCTTGCCGATTGGGTTTAATGTTGCATCATTGTTTGGGCCGGGTGAGTATTCTTGCATCATTCCAGTAGGGGACAGGAAGGACGCGGGCTAATGAGTACTAGTTATGGGTGGTATGCTGGCCGATCCGGTCAGGAGTTATCCGCGATTGTTTGGTCCGGACTCTTCGTTTGGCGGCCAGACGGGCGTCCAGTGGCTGGTCACGTATCCGTATGCGTTGCCAATGTTGGCCAATGGGATCTTTCTGACTTTCGCTGCGGTCTGCGTGGCCATGGGTTTAGAAGAGGTATGTCTCGAGTGTATTGCTTTGGAGGTCCTGCTCTGGGTAGCGCTAATGGGTTCAATTCAGACTTTGGATGCATGCAAGGGAAAGCCCGGCTTGGGTACTTTCACCATGCGGATATTCTCTCGCGGCGTAAAAACCGTCGTCCCGTCATCTTCCGGCCTTTATCAGCGACTGCCTTTCGCCGACTACGACGAGGATGGCCCTCTTCTACATCAGTCTCGCGACCGGACGGAAGGCTACGAACTCGAAGAGAAGGCAGCGAAGCCTGCGCGACTCGTTCACAGCTTGCCTTTCCGCCAATTGTGGACTAAGAATGTGTTGTGTACGCTGCTGGCGCAGGCCTTTTTCGATTTCCAGATGGGGTATGTTTCACTCTCGTCGTAGCCTATAGACTCAAATACTGACGATCTCCAGCGCCTTCAACAACCTCTGGCTGCTCTTCCTCTCTACCCCCCGCTACGACTCCAACGACCCCGCTAGCCCCCAGCAAAAGCTCCCCTTCATCTTCACCGGTGGTCTCGGCATGCTCCCTCAAAGCGTCGGCTTCGCCACCGCCATCCTCGGCATCATTGGCATGCTCCTCCAATTCACCATCTACCCAGCCATCAACAACCGTCTCGGCACTGCCAAAAGCTACCAATACTTCCTCACCCTCTTCCCCCTAGCCTACGCCTTCGCGCCCTACATCGCCCTCGCACCCTCCAGCACCCCGCCCCCAGGCCAGGCCAACGGCTCATGGGTCTGGTTCTCCATCATCGTCGTGCTCTTCCTGCAAGTCACCGCGCGAACCTTCACCCTCCCCACGTCCATCATCCTGCTCAACAACTGCTCCCCGCACCCCTCCGTGCTCGGCACCATCCACGGCATCGGCCAATCCGTCTCGTCGGCCTTCCGCACCGTGGGTCCCATCTTCTCAGGCTCGTGGTACGGCTACGGTCTGGATATCGGGATGGTCGGGTTCGCGTGGTGGTTGATCGCCTTGGTCTCGGTGTTTGGGTGCGTCGCGGCTATTTTCGTTTATGAGGGTTCCGGTCATGAGATTCTTCTTCCTGGTGAAGAGGAGTATCGGGATTGAATCTTTTTTTTAAAAATTATTATCTTTTATTTGTGGTGTGGTGTGGTTTGTTTGGATTGTATGTATATATTGAAGGCAGGCAGTATTTTTTTTTGGTGGTATTTTTTTTAGAGAGATATGTTAGTATATAATCATACTGGAGAATCTGTTTCTCTTTGACGCTATGGAAGGAGATTATTCCCAGTACATACTGGAATTTAGAAGTTAATTTGTTGGTTTCATAATCTATTCTATGTCAACCTGCTTCCTGAATAACTAGCAAACGGGCCAACAGTATGCTATTAACTATATATCAATGCCCATGTAACATCAGTATTCAAAGAAAATAAGAATATCCTGCTATACTTCCAAGCCGCGGAATCAAGTTCCAGGGACTCTGATAGACCAGCAAAAATGACGCCACAATTCAATCACCCATGACTCTCACCCCAGTAGAGGGACTGCACCTTGCAAATAGTCAGCTTCATGAAATTCAACACACTTCCACAAAATAATACTGATATTCGTTTTCCACTAACTAACTACTTACTTATTTACTAACGAACACCGAAACCATGTCCGAACGACTGAACATGTCCGTTTTCAACGCCCCAAGTTCCCCCCCTCAACCAGAGCCTTAGGCCTACATATCATCGAAGAAATGCAAAAAGGCCCCTGGAAAAGCGTCGAAATCACCAATACCGAGTTACCTCCCAGACAGATTAAAGGTGTCCTACACCAAGTACAAAGGGACCTTGAGTCTCAATCAGCATGGTATGTATGTATGTATGCATGCTGGAACACAACCCAACCCATAGGGTGCTAAATATGTACAATACATATGGACTAGGTAAGGTATATGTTAACGACGGGAGTATGTACACACAGAATCGGCTACAATGCCCTCACGCGGAAACTTTGCATTCGCGTCGGGAGAAAAAACGATCTACCTGATTGCCACAATTGGTGGATGGAAGACCTATTCGCGAGATGGATCGCAGATGAGGTCCTCGCGCAGGACGAATCCGACTGTCTTGATACGCTGGAAGCACCGAGTAAGTAAGAAGACTAGACTTATTTATCGTCGTCTATCTGCGTTCCCACGTAGAATATGTCTATCCCCTTGCTGACGAGATGCTGTGCTGTGCTATAAATAACAGGGATCAAGTACGCAGGATCCATACAGGAACCCGACTACGCGATCCACCCAAACACAATGTGCCAGCCGAGTGTGGTGGTCGAATCTGCCTGGTCAGAATCCAGAGAGCGCATGATGGAAGACATGAATTTGTGGCTCCGGGGTGTAGGGGCTGGACCACGCGTCCAGGTCGTGATTCTATTAACGTGGACACTGGTTGGGCACGGGGACAAGGATTACTCGGAGTTCGCGAAGGGCGAAGTCGACTTCTACGTGCGAGATGGGCAGGATGTGCCGGTTCGTCAGCAGCAGGTACAGCTCTGGCCGACCAACAAGCAGCAGCAAGAAGGGCAGCGTCTGGAGATCAGCCGGAGAGTGCTGTTTGGGCCGAAGGCCTTCCCCGGCAGAGATCTAGAGGAGATGGTAGATTTGCACGTCGAGCTGTTGAGGGAAATCTCGGATTTGGGGATGTTTAATATCGGTCTGGTGCCAGACGGCGAGTAGTCAAATCAACGGGTTCAATATGTTGGCAGGGTGCAACTCGATGAGTCTGTTTCAGTGTCTGGGTTAATCACTGAAGGTCTTGCTTTCCATATTCACGGATGAACTACTTAGCTACTCAGGGTGAACTAGTAGAAAATGCATGAAAAAATTTCGTGAACCTTCACAGAAGATGGAAGATGATCGTCATAAGTCATAATAATAATAAATACCCCGTCACATCTACAGATACATACAGTGGTAGAAGAGACTACCGCCGCAGCGCAGCAAACCGTTTCGTTAACTCGTCCAGCTCCGGAATGCCTCCGCTCTTGCTCTTACTCGGCGTCTGAGTCTCCGGCGCACCGTCCGTCGCCTTGTCCGTCGCCTTTCCAGCGTTGCTATCCGGGACTTTGACGCGCGGGTTGGGATTATCTGATCTCGGTCCTGGCGGCGCAACACTGACGGGGCTTTTTCCTGCCTGCAGACCCCGCGGCGGCGTCACGCGGTTGAGTTCCGCGGTGTCTGACTGACGACGTTGCGGTTTGGCCGGCGTGGATGGGAGATCGCCAGGTCCGGCATCATCTCCGCCCCCAGGCCCATCCTTGGACTCGACTGCATCATCACGGTCCTCAAACTCCCCCGGCGCCTCCCCTAATTCTTCTTCTGTATGGCCCTGCAAGTGTGCGCCCCAGTTGACTCCATACGCGCGCGCAATCTCCAACAGGTAGCTCTCCACCAGCTCCATGCTGGGCGGCTTCGCGCGCAACCCCTTGACTAGTCGCGCCGGGACCTTCACGCCCTCGCCGCGCGGGAACTTATTATCAGCCGCCAGCGCCATGAAATCCTTTCCCCAGCGGTCGGCCAGCAAAGTCCGCAGAATCGTCAGCTCGCGCACATCATGCGGGAAGCGGGGAAAAGCGTAGAAGATAGCCGCGGCGGCCTCGTCCAGCGCAGGATCGATATATTTGCTCTCCAGCACCTCCTCGTCATCTCCCTCCCCTTCGAAGTCCTCATCCCTAGCAGCGCGCCCAGCATCCGAGTCTTCAGGCTTCGACGATTCCGCCCCGCCAGCCGCAACGGACTTGCTCGACCCCCCAAACGGATTCCAAAAGCTAAACCCGGAAGAAGCCGACTTCTGATATCCCCCAGCATTCCCTCCCCCGGAAGTATGTTGTCCCTGGCCCTGCGCATGCCTCAAACTCCCCCACACCTCCTTCGCGCGATTCCTCGCCAGAACCCCCTTCTCCCCGAACGCGGCCTGATCGACGACGTTGGCGCGCGCCAGGATCAGCTCGCAGTATAGCTCGACCATCTCGAGCACCTCGATGGAGATGTCTGTGGCGATGACATTTTCGACGCGAATGCGCGCGGACGCCTCGCGGCCTTCGGAGAGGAGGTGGGAGAGCTCGCGGCGCTGGACGACGGAGGAGGCGGTGGATTTCTTTTGCAGAAGGCGGAGACGCGGGATGAGGAGGTGGAGGGTGGATATTAGTTTTGTCTGTTGGGTTTTGGTTGTTAGTTTGTTTTGGCAGGAGTAGAAGAGGGGAGGAGGGCGTTGGGATTGGGGTGGGATTAGAATTGGGGATGGCGGGGTAAGAATGACGGGAGGACGAAAATGGAGTATTCGATATGGGAAGGGCGGACGTACGGTTTGTGGTGAGGGGGGCATTTCAATCAGAATATCCTTTTCGCGTTTGGAGGATTGTTGATTGAGGAGGATGGCGAGAGAGTTGGATGGGGAGGAAGTTTAAGGAAGTTGGAGGTGGTTGAATTATGTTATGTCACGATCACATGGCGGGTCTTGGCTGGTACTCCGGAGTATAGCGGCATCCTCCATTTTCCATGCCAGGCAGACACATCAAAAAATATTTAATCATTAGTTAAATAATTAACGCGGTATTCAGTTAATTAAAAACACAACAGATCAGACAGTGACAGGACGACTCACCTTATGAGTAGCCTCTAGTCACTCCGTCAAATGAACTGTTCTCCCGACTTTGACTTCAGTATATAGAACCTCTCGCCCCATATTCCCTTCTCATCCTTTTCCTTTCAAGAGCCAAGCCAAGCTCCTGACACCTAGCATGTCTCCATTCAGTACATGAAATCTTTCCAAGCCCTTCTTGGAGGGGCGATTTTCCGCTCTGTGTACGGTTGTTCCATGCTACTGTTTACATTCGACGGAAGAACGCTTACCAAAAAGCAAGGGGGCTTTCAAGAAGACTGTCTCTACTGGGCCCAGAACAAATTAAAACGTGACGCTTCCTGGCTGATAGGCCATTCGGATGGCGCCACGATACCGAAATAAGATATCGAGATTCGGCGCTTTGGGGGTTTAAAGAACCTAGCCCTCAAGCGGCTAGACGAGGCTCACCAATCCAAGGCAAGGTAAGAAAGAATATCAGAATCAACGGCCTATTGTACTAACTACTATTACAGAATTGGATTTAATTCCATGCTGACAGAGCTCTGCATCAGAGCCATGCCAAGCTACATTCACGAATCGTTTCACTTGTGGACCCTGTCGTCTCCATGGCTGGAACAACCAGGTACCAGAAGGAACTGGGCCTTCCATCCGTATCATGGCGTGGGAAGAATGCGGCGTGGCCCTTGCATCAAGGGTTCCACAACGCGGGAGCCAAGTCGATGTCAAAGTGTGCGAATCCTGCGTGCAAGACAATGTCTTATCCCTATAGCTCGTTTCCTGATGGTGTTGAGAAATACAAGCGGGCTCACAAGACACCAGACGATCCTTTGAGCCGCCGATATTTGTGCGGCGTTTTGATGGAGAACTTCCAGGTCCAACAAGCGATCTGCAGAGATGAGACTGGTGTCCAAGGACGATTCCAGCAGAATGTGAGTCAAGCAATGACGGCTATATTCGTCCAACTGTTGTGATCGAGGTAGGTTGGTCGGAAACAAAGCCAAGATTGATCAACGATATGCGGACTTGGCTCATTGGAGGTAATGGAGGTATCAAAGCATGGTCCTCTTGGAATAGCATCTGGTTCGGAGGTCTGGTCGACCACTGCTCCTCCGGGATATTCGCCACGCCGATATTACTGCCATCCGGTAGCGCCCAATGTCACTGCTGGCGACTACCTCTTGCAGGCGTGCTGTAGGTTGAACGTCTCCATGGATAGTGATGCCATTCGGCATGACCGTGGTTGGAATCGCAGGGCCAGAGATTTATCCTTCATTTGATGAGACATTTGACTCAAATCCTGACGGCGCCGTGATGATTATTGACGAAGCTCAGACGTCATATAAGTGCTCTTTGTTTTGGAACAACGTGGTCAAGAAGCAAAGGTCTCAGGAAGGCATATCAGAGGCAAAGATTTGCGCATTCTGCTCTTATGGAAGCCCTGCCGCAGGTGTCGATACCAAAGATATCAACCAGTAAGGGGTTATTGAGTATACTACTGCCAGCTTTGGTCCAGGGCAGCCGCCATGGAAGAGAGGAAATTCAAATTCATCGGTTCCGCGGCATGGGGCAGTTTCATGACAGAGCTCCTTACACAGTGGCCCTATCTGGATCAGACGCCTGGTCGAGGCTCCTCGCAAGAATGTGAGAGCTCTTGTAACGCGACAAGGGCGGCATTTTCAGCCACCCAGAACGAACTCCGTTGGTCTCCAGGCTTGGAATATAGTAAGGAGTAGGAACACTACAACCAATGGCCGCATGCGGCCCCGAGTGACCGAGATCCCCAATTCAAGCACCTAGCTCCACGCTACACCAAGCTGCCAGACATCCTGGTAGAAGCTGGATTCGAATCTCGGACCGATAAGTATCTCGATGACGGCAATAGCAACCCATACGCTCTGATCGAGGTTAAACCGATCGTTAGGCCATTCATGGATGAAAGTCAGATTCAGATACAAGAGAGTGCTCAGATGGCTGGCTTGATCATAAACGACATTGACGCTCCAGCAGAAATAATTACCACCAATCCAACCACACAAACGGAAAGGGCTCTTTGGTGGATGGATGGCTTTACTCGGAATGGGGAACCCCGGCGAGGAGGCCGAGGAGAAGGCCGCCACAAATGCGACAGGATTGACTTTGTCGCAGAGCTTTCCCCTTGGGCGAATTTCGAGCAAGACATCCCGAAGTGACTCATATCACCAATTGGGCTGGCAATCAGTCAGTCGTGGCGCATGAACCACGGGGGCTCATGCGGCATTTTATCAGCCGTGAACAGGTAGTCGTAAGTAATGAAACCGGTGTACAAGGTCGGTTCAATCAGAACATGGGCCAGGTTCTCTCGGCGGCGTGCAAGGCTGCATGCCAAGGGGAGATGCAGTCATAGTCAAGTTTGAGGGTCGTTTATTCATCCTAGTGGTGCGCTTCTTCTATGTATTACTCGGTGGGTGTCTCGAGGAGAAGTGTCCGCAGCCTGCTAATCTGCCGCCATCCCAACAAGAACGCCGATAGCCAAATCGGTGCTCTAATCGATCGAACGGAGTGGGTGTTTGGCACACGCGAAGATGCTCCAATCTTCGAGTTCAAAGACTTGGGGCATTCAACTAAGCGAATATTCGTACGTGATCGCGCTCTACAGAGAGGCTATTGCGTCGGTGCAGTAGGAGCGAGAAGGCGCTTGTCCATAACCTAGTGTCTTTCTATTTTGCGAACTGAGAGGAATGCAACCCTTGCTCGTGAACCAGCAGAGTCCAACCGGCTCATGAAATTACCAGTTTGTCAGTGCGATAGTCGTTGAGATCCGCCGGCAGAACCTCACCGTGTGTTTTGATCAACTAGCTCGACTCAAACACAACTGTTTACCAAATGCATTTAGTTAGGTATGTTAGCAGAAAAGTTATTATGTACTTCTCTCGGTGCGTAGACACACCCACCATCAACGTTGTTCGCCTACATTAGGGCCGGTTGAAGCAGCGGGTCCCGTTCAATATAGAGAAATGAAATCCAAAGAGGCGAGATCCCCCTTCCGATTAGTTAGATTATGAGGGCCGCTTTTTTTGGAGGGCGGCCCTCATATCGCCAATTCGCCCTCGTTTTTTTTCGCTGGGTTCAATCCCCCCCAAATCTAGTGGAAAATGAGCGACGAAGTCCCCTATATTCGAAACAAATATCTAAAGTTCAACCATTTACCAATGTATAATAATTCTTTATAATCCTCCTAAAATAAATCATGTTACTATTCATTATTCCTAACAATTATACTATCATGTTCTAGGGCTATGTCGAAAAATTGAAAATTGAAATGCTTGTTCTTAAGGTATAGAGCATGTAGCACATTTGTGATGTTAAAATATATATATAGTAGTGGGGGAATTGCTGACTGCATGAAGCCACGTGAAGTAGCGGTGTATCAGCACTATGTGATACATAAGACTTCCCTGTTCGCAAGATGGCAATTCAGACACACTTCTCTTCTTCTGCCACCTCTACGTGCTCTCCTCTCTTACATCTCCTACTGCCCCTCGTGGCCAGGACCTGGTTCGCAGACAGGGAATGGTCAGGTTTCCCTTATGGGCTCCCCTCTTCAGTATTCAATACTTACCTTTGCCATGAGATTTTAAAAATGCCGCAAATACTAGCTCGTTGAACTCGCCTTTCACGCGCTTATAGGACACATCAAGCTCAAATGAATCTAGAGAGGCTAGGATCTTAAGCTGCTCGTTAAATGCACAGATGATCTGGACACCATATTCAACATAGATCCTGCGGATGTATCTCTATTACTATAGTTAGTATTTTAATGCATCATATATCCAGTTTCACGTACCCTACTTGTTTTGTCTCACATTCGTAAACGACACCTTTCAAGTCTCGTCCAAGAGGATACGCTAAAGCTCTTTGCTTTGCGATAAGCGTCTTTAAACGGTCTTGGTTTGCAAAGCTCGCGTGGATCTGGGACAGCGATTTACCGCGAAACTGACGGCAAAACTCTTTTAACTCAGGACTAGAGTTGAACTTAGCTGAAAATCTAGTTAGCCCATCGATGCTCTAGATTTCGCCTAGCTTAAACCCTTACTTGCGGTAAGCTCATGGCTCATACTTCTCGTGATGAGATCAAGTAGGCCCGAAATCATGTCTTGCGGCAGCTTTTCTGGTGGTGGGGGCGTATGCGAATGGCGTCCTCGCGAGTAGAAGATAGCGTACGGGTGCTTATTGTAGTCGATTGGGATGAATGTATGAAATAGCACTGCACATGGCATCTTGTTTGGCTTCTCTCTATCCTGTGGATGCGTGAATCTTATAAGAATGTTAGTTTTAATCTAGTTTTCAAACGTAAAAACTACATAAAACCTACCGCAATGAGGCCGGCGGGAGCTTATTCCTTTTATGCCAGTGCATATTTCAAAATATGGAGAGCTGCCAGTAGCTACTAGGCTCTCTAAAAAGGCCTCGTCAAAATGGGCTGACTTATGTGTGAGGTTTGGAACCATTATTCAGCTGACATGCCTAAGTCATATGACTCCTTGGCATGGGCAGCTATTATATCTTCGACGAAGCTAGTAGTTTAGAATAAAACTTCACTTTTACCTACCGAGCATATACCTACATTCCGTTGAATCGATAGTATATCTGCTTAGGGCAATGACCAAGTCAACCGACAGTGAGATTCTTATGCCAATGGCCCCGTTGTTTCTTAGAGCATGCAAGGTATGGGAAGTTGATGCCATTAGTGTTCTAAAATATAGTTAATTTAGAACAATTTATAGATGGACGCACACTTACTGCTAAAGGGTAGCGCCCAAAGGTAACGTGGCAGGACTCATCTTGAAGACCTGGGCATGCCTTAAACTTCTGAAAAAGATGTAGTGCCCCGTAGTATATTCTGCATTATTTTGTTAACAGAAACTTGATAGGCCTCGTCTTTTTGTAATTTTACTTACCCAGCGCTCTCTCTTTGCGCCGGCGTAATAACATGAAGACCTTCAATTCTCGTCTTTTCAGCAACAACTCGCTGATGTAATGCTGGATCTGCCGTATAGTGGCTCATTTTGGTGATTGTTTCAGGTGCGTAAATGCAGTGCTTAATGCCAGTACAATGGTATCTTCGCTTGGTCGTCACGCAGTCGAGGAAGGTATTATACACCTGCGACGATTGACCAGATTGGGCATAAGAATATTGAATCTGTGGGATTTAGTTAGTGTAGCGGTGGAATCTGTGACAATGTCAATTCTCGTATAGTACCCAACCCATTGGAGATATCAATGACTCTGTATTTCAATTACCCCTAGTTCACGCTATTTATGCTTCAATTTAGTTACATAATCAAATGCATCGGATCAATACTAGATCCGGTCACTTGCAGTATTCGTAAGGTATTCTTGACATCAGTCAGCTTGAATCCTTCCTCAAAATGAGTATACTTCAGGGGAAATCCTTTCATTTAAATAAGGTCTCTTTCTCAATGAGAAAGAGACCAGACTTAGACACCTCTCTGGAATAGACTGTTTGCATGTAGACTTCCGCAGAACCCAACATAATTCGGACCCAACCCGGACCCAACCCGGACTGAGTTGGGTTTTGGGTCGAAGTCCTCGACCCAGCCTGGGTCCGGGGCCCCAACTTGGGTCATAAACAATGCAAACATGCTAATTATGTGCATCATTGTGATTATTTAGCAGATTTATGGATGCCAAGACCAAGATTTATGCAAAATTGGATCGGATTGGGTCCGGGTTGGGTTTTGGGTCGAGACCTTCGACCCAAGTTGGGTTATGCGGAAGCCTATTTGCATGCTTCGTTCATCTTCTACTAGGAGATATCGTATGTTTCAACAAAAGAAGTCTCCCGCGAAGCGCACGTATATCAAATCCTGCGTAAGGCTCAAGCATCTTTTGTCCCTGATTTCCTTAGTACAATCGACTTGGCAAAGGAATTATTCTCTTCATCGGGCTGGAGATTCGTCACATGCTCGTCATGGGCTGGAGGGGGATTTTGGGGGGGGAGGCGATCTCACAGCAACTATGAAGCTGACGCTGGGGCTTCTCAAAAATATCCACAAGTCGGATAAGGAAATCATCGGCCTCAAAATGCGCTTTGGAATGAACAGTCCGGGAGGGCGTTGATTATCGACTTTCACCGCTCTAAATTGAAATGTTGGCCAGCTCCAAAGCGACCACGAGTAAAGAGACAATTGTTGCAAACAGAGTCAGGAGATACAAAGTGCTTACGTGTTCTATGAGAGAAGCGGTCTTTTTGTTTTTATTCCGATAGTGATTGTATACTTTATGATAATGAAGCATTTTACTACTAGCACTTGTGCACTTTCAAACTCTTCACCAGAACAGACACGTCTTCCACACCTATCAAATGCGGAGGAATAACGTTGTCTTTGTTTAAACTTTATTTTCATTGGTACCAATACTTATATAATGCCCCATTTACTAATACTGGATCAAAAAGACATATTGAAAAGGATGATCCATTCACTAACTAGAAAAAGGCCGTCTTTATAGACTAGCCAATGAAAGAACTAGTGACAAAGGAGACAGGTCTGACAAAGAAGGGCAATCAGGGCATGTTTTGCTGTTTGCACGTCAACTAAGCATGGAGCTTACTGTACTTCAGGCCAGTCTTCCTCCTTGATATACTCCTCCGCAGTGTATACAGGGATATCGACGCCAAGCTGGTATGCTTGTGAGAAAGAGCTCTAGTTATAGACGGGGAAACACTTACACTTTGAGGATGAACAATGCTTGGATCATGACCATCGTACCCAAATTCCCCGATGTACTCAAACATATCAGCAAGTTCCTCGCCAACGCCTCCAGGGACGGCCTTTTCAAGTACTTCGCGGTGGACTCTTTCGAAACGACACTTCAAGCCATGGATTTTCCCCCACAGAGCCGCAAATTCGTTCCAGCTAATGAAGCTTCCGTAGCCGAGCAGATTTTTGCCTGGCTCGACCTGTACAAGCGCCTTGACAAATTTGCCTCCAGCGTTCAATCTTAGCCACAAGTTCCCTTTAATTTACACAGGACAGCATACTTACCCGTATCCTGACGCGGCTCCACCATAGGAACCGGGGCATCACCGTCTATAGGAACGCTCATCACAAAAGAGCCGTCAGATTGCTGTCTCTCTGTTAACATTATCCTTCATCGAAGTAGACGTAAGCTGCTCAAGTAATTCCATAGAGCTTTCGGCTTACCTTAGTCGGCCGGGCCATGTGTAGGCCCTTCTTCCAGTTGGTCACATAAAGCCCGACCTGTAGATACGAAGTCTTCCTATCCAGTGCTGGATAAGTGGACTTCAAATAGTCAACACCCATCCACTTCGCATCGAAGTGTAGGTTGTGGATATACTTTCCCTGGCTCCACTTCTTGGTGTGCGAGAGAGTTGAAAACACGAGTCGGTCTAAGGTGCCAATCGTGGAGTTTGCGGCATCTATGATGTTGCGGGCCTGTTGGACCTCAGTCTTGTATGCGAATTCGGTTATGGGTTGGCCGGTTGACTCTGCCAGCGCCTGTTCTTTAGGATCCCACACAACTCCCCAGAAGTCGGTGACGCCGAAGATAACGTTAGACCCGGCGAACGCTGTTCTCAATGTGGCGACGTCATTGAGGTTGGCCTTCACAAGTTCAACCCCCTTGTCAGCCCAACTTTGGCTTGATGGCTTGCTTGGATCACGGGTGAGGCCGCGGACATGCCAGCCTTGCTCCTTGGTATAGATATCGGCAATGGAGGCACCCTTTCATTGATTAGTTTCCCCAATGCTGGTAAGCTCTTTCTTAGTATAAGTCTATGCGTACCTGACTACCCGTCAATCCCACAATAGTGATGATCTTCTTCGCCATCTTCCTTGGCAATGGATGAGATTTGAATGAGATTTGAATGAGCTTGGCTTTCAAATTCTTTGTTCTGCTGGAGGGGAGAAGTGGAAGACATCATATAGGTTACTAACTACACTCTCTACTAGTTACTTAGTAATAGTGGGAAATTCTCTCATAACGAGGACGGTGTAAAAGGTTGCGCCGCTCCCGGTCCGTTCTTTTGTACTGTTTGGTATGATTACTATTCAGCACCGGGCCGACTGCGGCATTTTTTGTGAAGTGGCCGGTTCCATCGTGCAGCATTGTTGTAAAGGCTTGATTGGTAAAAAGGGTAGCCAGAACTGGCGTCCGCTCCGTTCCTCACCCCCATCACTAATCTCCATAATTTCGGGATCACTAATCGTGGTTTTTTGGGATCATCGGGCAGTGGGGGTGGGAAGCGGCTGCGACTCGGAGCTTTGGAATGATATTTAAAATCCCGGGAGCCCCCTGCTACGAAGTCAGAGAATAGGATAGACATTTCATTATCTTCTCCAACATTTACAAGTCTTGAGACTTAGGACTCAGTAGTAATCCGGCTGCGACAAATCGTACAGCACACTTCATCCAGCACGATGGATTCTACCTCACCACCCCGCGAGAGCAGCAAGCTCTTCTCGCCACTCCGTCTCGGAGAAATGAATCTCGAACATCGAGTCATCATGTCGCCGATGACGCGCCTGCGCTGTCCTGGTAGTGTGCCGACTCCGAGCGTCACGGAGTATTATACACAGAGAGCGACGAAGGGAGGACTGCTTATCACTGAAGGCATGCACCCGAGTTTGATGGTTTGTCATTCCCACTGTCCCGAACGTGTAATCCACTTAGAAAACAGCAGTTTGTAATAGATGTGGGAGCATGAAGGCTGACATTGGCGCAGGGTGGAGGGTTTTACGGCGTACCAGGCATGTTTGCGCCTGAGCACGTGAGGGCTGTATGTGCAGCTCCCAAGCTATTTCCTCGATTTCTCGGGACGGTTTTATCATGAGTCATGTCTATTGATAGAACTCCTGGGATCGTGTTTCAGCTTTTCAATTTTTACGGAGATCAGTGCTAATTATGTTATAGTGGAAGAAGGTAACGGATGCTGTCCATGCCAAGGGTGCATTTATGGCGTGTCAATTGTGGCATGTGAGTTCCACCCAGTGATCATCTCAAGCTTCAGCTATTGATCTCAGATTACATCAGGTTGGGCGATTTGCAGTCTCAGTCTCGCTAGGCGACCGCCAGCCATTGAGCTCTTCCGCAACAAATATTGGCTATTATAACAGGAACACGCGCGGAGGTATCAAATATCCTCATGAGACAGCCAAGCCGATGACATTGCAGGATATCAAGGATACAGTTGATGATCATGTGCATGCTGCGAAATGCGCGATCGAGGCCGGGTTCGATTGTGTCGAGATTGTAGGTAACGGTCTCCCTTTAAAAAATAAGATTGGGAGCTGATTGACAAAGGCGTCGGGCAATGGATATCTGCTTGATCAATTTCTCAATACTAACACTAACCTCCGTACCGATAATTACGGCGGCAATAAAGAGAACCGAGCTCGACTCACGCTCCAAATCCTCGATGCGGTGATCGCCGCTGTCGGGGCATCTAGAGTATCAATCCGAATGAGCCCATGGGGAACTGTTTGGTTGCCATTAGATACGGATCCTATCGCGAACTTCCGGTATGCGCTGAGCGAAGTCGAGAAGCGAGGAGTCGCATACGTATGCCTCACTCAGCCGCGGGCCGATCTTCTACTCGAAGAGAAGACTAAGACCGAAAACATGTACGCAGCTATCAGGGAGGAGAAAGTGGCTGCTACGGTCGAGGATCTCCATCTCAGGCACTTCTTAGAGGTGCTGAAGACAACACCAGTATTGACTAACGGGAATTACAATGGCGAGAATTGCTTTGAGGAGGTGAAAAGAAATGAGGTAGATGGGATCACGTTTGCGAGGTGGTTTATCAGTAACCCGGATCTGGTAGAGAAGCTTAGGCTAGGGAAGAGACTGACCAAGTGGAATATGGACACGGTTTATGCGGGTGTGGTTGTGGCTGGGAGTGAGAGTGAGGGGTATACGGATTATCCTTTCGGAGAAGTTGAGGAAGAGGAGGCAGCGAACTGAAATGCTGCTGTCCATTGCTTTCCTGCTTGGGTGGCGAAATTAGAAGTATGGAGATTCGTAATTAGAAGGAGCATAGTCTACGAATTTCCTCGAATCGAGCGATAGGTTTCGATTGGCCCCATTAGCTTTTCCTTCTGTAAATCACCGCTACGGCGTATACTTCATCAATCCGAAGAAATTATGCGATCTTTTTCTGAAATATAACAAAAAGGTTGAACTTTCAAGAAGGACTGGGTCTGCAAAACAAAAAGTTGCTCTACATTCGTGTATTTGGGTGATGTCGAGAGATCCTTACCGCCTAGACATCCGCCTATGCATTGTTCATACGGACAATCTTAGCTGATTTTAGCGCAAAGATCATCCGAAGCGGTGCCGCATTGGAAGATCCATTGGTAGATTACTTACTGTAGCGTCAATAAGCCTCGTATTTGAAGGTTTTGTGGCGCAAGTCGTGGCGCAATTATTATGCCGTGCCCCGGGCGGGTAGGAACCACAATTGAAGTGGAGATAGACCTTGACATTTCCATGGGACTATCCCGCAAAGGGTAGTCACTGCGCCCTAGGTATCTTCTCGAGGTCCACCAGGTCAATTAGGCATCTCCGGTACGCAGTATACACTTGAATTATAAATCGCTCTCGCACTAGTCTATTGTGGAAGTGAGAGCGCGCAAACGAAATATAGTTACCCCCATTCATGTCTTCCGATTAGGAAGCAATAGGCCACGACTTTCCATGACTAGCTAGTATCTCGCATTCGGGGCAAAAAATGCGTAGACCCGATAACTCTGAATGCACTTACTTTATTCTACTCTCAAACTCTCATTGTCGGAGGATGAGGTGATCCGAACTACAATATATAAAAGGAAGGCAGATAGGTCGCAGGTGAAAATGAAACCGTACACTCCGCGATATCTTCGATTTATTCCCATCAATCCGAAAGCAGACCAACATGTCGAATGCCCGCAAGCTCATCTTGATCACGGGTGGAACCGGTTATATCGGAAACCACACAGTTTCAGAATTCCTCTCGAACGGGTATAGAGTTTGAGCGACAGTACGAAACCAGGATACCTGTGACAGTCTACTCTCTATCCATTGGAGACACCGGGATTCGCTGGAAACGCAGATCGTCGCTGATATCACAAGACCCGGGGCCTTTGATACGGCCGTTAAAGACGTTGATGGAATTGTGCATATGGCCTCTCCATTCACGGACAAGATCACCGACAACGAAAAAGATTTGATCATACCAGCCATTAATGGTACAAAAGAGATCTTACGAAGCACGATTTCCTTTGCGCCGAACGTGAAGCGAGTTGTTTTGACTTCTTCGTTTGCCTCAATTGCCGACTTTTCGAAGGGTCTACGACCGGGACATGTGTATGAGGAATCGCAGTGGAGTCCTCTGACCTACCAGGCGACGAAAGATAACAAGATAGGTCTTGCCTATGCGTAAGTCAAATTTCCTGTCTACAAAATTACTGGCCATTTGCTAACAAATTCAACAGAGGTAGTAAAAAGCTCGCGGAAGAAGCAGCTTGGCAGTTCGTGGAAACCTCGCCCGGCGTGAATTTCTCTCTCGCAACCATCAATCCGACCATGGTATACGGCCCAGCGTTCCCTGGATCAGTAAGTCTTAAGCACCTGGGCCAATCTATGTCAGATATATATGCGGTAATGGACGCATCTCTGACTGAAGTTCCACCAACTATGTTGCCTGCCTTTGGATGTTAGGGATGTTGCGAGAGCCCACCTTCTGGCATTCGAGACAGACCAGCCACAGAGATTCCTTATTTCCGCAGGCGACTTCGACAAGCAGAAGGTCTGTGATCTGCTCCGAGATCAGATTCCCGAACTGAAGAGTCGGGTGCCTGTCGGAAGTCCAGGGAAGCCAAGCGTTGGTGAGCACTACGAGATCGACTGTTCCCGGGCTAGGAGCGTTTTTGGCATCGAGTTTCGGTCCTTTGACGAGACCTTCTTGGATATGGGTCACGCTTTTATAGAGATGGAGAATGCCGAAAAATAGTTCTGTTTGAAGAAGTTTGCCTAGAAGAACAGCAGAAGATGTTGTTTTTGGTTACTTAGCTCTGTTATTGTCAAAAATCCCCTTTGCTTTAGATTGGATATTTGGTTTTTACTTTTTAATCCATACTTCTCTTTTGCCTATTACATTATTTGCGTGCTTAATATTTCGCAGTTTTGCCTCTTAGAAACATGGATCTGTAGGTCCTGGCAACCTTAGTTACCTTCACTTATAATCTTTCATATACATGGTCTAAAATTTAGAGAATGTGTATCACTATACCATTAGAAATCCTCAGACACATACTGTCTATAAAGCATGGAAATAGCCACAATTAAGCTTATATGGCTCCGTTGAGGTAGGAAAATTTGACATTTTCTCTGTTTTTCATGTCAAATACAAAAGGTGACTCTAAGCCGGGCTTGAAAGATATCCACAGGTATACCAGGGAATAAAGGACATGCTAACCAAATTTTGATTTAACTTGTGGTGAAGCTAATAAAGACAGAAACTTGGGTACTGGAGCAGAATATAGACTAACGTGGGTCCATCTACACTGGATCCGTAATTGAAATTTCCACACTCAAGTACGCCCCTTTGAGAAGGAAGATACCCACTGATTAACCGTCATAAGCTGGTCTGCGATTACGGGCCAAACCAGATTGACTGCTGCCTTTTCCAACTCAATCGACATTGCCGCAGTTGCATCGGTACTGATTCAAAACTTAGCAATCTCGTCACAAGACCTTCAGTCTTTGATATCGGAAGTAGGTTGAAACTCACATCAAAGTGACATGGAAGCCACTATTCAAACAGAAGGTATTATTAGTAAAGTGTCCAATCAAAAGGTCGGGTAGGTAAAGATGCTCACATTTCACGAGCAGCACGCGCAGTAGACTCCACACATGTGTTAGTGGTTAAACCTGCTAACACAATATGCGTAATGTCATGCTGCCGGAGTTGATACTCTAGGTCGGTGTTCGAAAAGGAACTAGCGTTATGTGCGTTAGGATCGTCCTCTATATAATAGAAGGACTCAAATAGGATCGGTCTTCTAATACTCACCTGCTGTTCCAGTGTCGAGAGACAACTACATCGCCATTGCTAGGCTGAGGTTCCAGTTCTTTCAGAATCTGGCCACCAAATTTTTCGGAAAATGCCGCACTCTCTTTGATTCGAATCTGCGACAAATTCATGTGGTTCCAGCCTGAGTAAGTTCCATCCTTGGTCATTTGGTGAAGACCATAGAAGATAGGAATGCGGGCTTCTCTTGCACCGGCAACCAGCTCCTTCATATGTTCGAGAGAGTTGGACGACTCTAAGCTAGCCTTGATAAGAGGATGAAACTTTCCATCGGGGTGGAGAAAGTCATTGAGCGGATCAATGAGAACGACAGCAGTACAAGGGCTCATGATTGCAAATGATTGAGTAATATAATAGGTATGTTTGGTGCAAAGCAAGTTAAACCACTATACCTAGTCTACACTCTTATATTCTATCCCTCAATGGTTGATTTATAAGAGCATCGGTGTTCGGGTATTTGGTCATCAAGATTCATCGGAAATGATTATTCAACGAAAAGGAAGATTCCCCAAATTACGTATGAGTTGTATAAAGGAAACGTCGGAAATATCGATCTTTGGGCGCTGTGACTTCCAATTTAGGACTAGTGTGGCGAACGGGCGGAATCTTCGGGTAGCCGTAGACAACCTAGCTCATAATATTTCTATGTGGTCTATTGCTTCTTGAAATCTACTTCCAATACATATTTGGCAGTCACTGAGCGCCCGGTCGAAAGTAAATGGCCCATATCGGAGACTCTCAGGTTGTCTGCTAGCCGCCAGGTTGCGCCATGCCGCTTTACCCGGGAGCTTCTCAAGGATGCGATGAATGCCGCCGACGCCGCAAGAAGGTATGGATATTGTTCCGTTCCTAGAGTGATACGCTTGGACTCTGTATTAATGCTGGAAATACTAAGTGTGATCTTAATAAACCTGAATGTCTTCGGTGCTGCAAAGCTGGTATCAAATGTAGCGGCCCGAAAGATTCACGGACGTTTATCAATCGGAACGCTGCAAATCTGGCCCAACAGACTGATAAAAAAGCGCTAGTCTACGCACTACAAAATAGAAGAAATTCGAAGTTAACCGCCGCCGACTTTGAGAGCTCACGTAGCTCGGATGATTCTCCATCCCGAAGAACCATGCTAGCTGCCGCTGAGCCAAGTCCACCCTCTGATATAATTTCCGTTGATATTCCTTGGCGCTTGACATTCTTGGCTTTAATTGAAGACTTTAAACCTGTTTCCCTGGGGGGTATCTTCAGTGGCGATAGAATATCGCGAGACGACCCCATTTATTCGAGCGCAGCCTTGTGCATTCGAGCTTTACTGCCGCTCACATCTTTACGGATTGACTCGCTCAATTTGTCTATCTTCAGTCTCCTCACGACTTATATGGGAAACTTGAAAATTGACACAAAGCTAGCACAACTCGCACAGTCATCGTACACGTCCGCCTTGAAAAAGTCGCATCCACATATCCAGAAGGTCATAGGGAATGGTCAACCCGGTACTCATCCAAAGGCCAACCTTGAATTGATCTTGCTACTAGCTATAGCCTTTCTGGCATTTGAGGTGAGAATCAGTCCGTAAATGAAAAAGAAGTTTCACTTCCTTTCCTGACCGCTGTTTCTAGTTCGTGAACGAAAATGAATACTCAGAAGCAGCCCTCTTGGCCCACATCGGTGGTGTATTAAGCATCTTAGAGCTCTATAGGCCGCACAACTTCTCTTCCCCACATATGCGACAAGCTTTTAGTGGATTTAGGGGGATCTTTGTACGCCTTCAGTATTCACTGCTCATGCTTCTGCTAACGATCCTACAGCTTTCAGTTAGACTTAGCAAACATAATCCAACCTTCCTAGCGGATTCAGATTGGATACGCCTCCCATTTCTGAATGTTCGGAAGACCAGAATGGAGCTTCTTCATGATATTACGTTGCAGATACCATGGCTCTTTTACCAAACAGATCGATGGTTTGATGGGCTTGAGAATTATGCTTCCAACGATCCCAACCGCCGAGAAACCTCGGACTCTCCGAAGCAAAATATAGAAACCGCTCTCTCGCTTTTAAAAGATTACTGGGCGGTCTTTGATCAAATGGAAGAGTGGCAAAACAACTGGAAAGCTTCCGAACAAGGCCCCCTGTATTGGCATTCTGGTATCCCAATATCCAGCAAGGTGATCGACGTCGACTCAGTTTGCATACCTTCATTCCCAGATCAAACATACCAGGTCCGCTTCCAAAATACCCAAAAGGCAGGAATTGCTGCTACCTTCTGGTCCTTTCGTCTGGAACTTCTTATGGGAATGATCAAACTCCAGCGAAGTTTACTCGGCACACAGGTTGAATCGTTGGAACAGAACCTGGCCATGGCGGAAGAAACAGCTTGTCTGATTCTGCAAACCACACCATACCTTACATGTTGTTTTGAGGGTGCAGTGGCTTCAAAGGCAGCGCTTCGAACTATAACGAGATACTTTGAGATGGGAGCTTTAGAGCAAGACTTCACCGTCAACTAGCATTAGTGCGTGAAACGGGTATCTCATTCCCAGCCTCTATGAACATAAAGTTGTGTATCATGAGATATGCTCAGTCTCCTTTTATACCATGATAAGAAAGGCTTCGGAAAAAGAAGTTGATAAAAACTCTTCTCATACAAACACAGAGCGTAGGGCTATTTACTAGGACCATGTATAGGAACACTCAAACTACCCATATTTTCAAACACCGTAATTCAATTTCATCATATAACAATCCCTTACAATATTGAGGGATTGCTGAGCACAGCACGAAGAAGGGAAGGCATTCTTCGACAGGGTATCAAATTAGAGAGCCGAAGGAGGGACCTAGAAACCGGGTTTCTTCTCGAAGAAACTCTACGCGCGGAGCATAATGTTAATGGGCTCACCGGGCATGAGGAATTCCTCGGTACGGGGAAATGTGTCAGACCGAACTGCGAAGAGGAAGCAGCAATGGAGTCAGCATCGATACTCTCCGCCCTGAGAAGCGATAAATTGAAAGACTCGTCCCAATGGCGAGCCTGGCATAAGCGAGTGAAGGCATTCGCAGTGCAAAGAACAGTCTGGGATCTCTGTAACCCAGATACAGCATCACATCCGATACCTTTATCGGAGCCAATTGAGCCTGAATACCCTCAATCGGGAGATCAGGAAGAAAAGAAAGAATGGAGAGACCTTCTTGAGGTCTACAAGATCAAGGCGAACCGCTGGGAAAATCAGCGGAAGGGTCTGGATGAGGTGAATGAGTATATCATCACCTACCTAGACGCATCCTTGCGAGACGTTGTACTGGAGTATGAGACTCCGTACGAACGCTTGGTGTATCTAAGCAAGCGCTTTGCTAGATCCCACGCGTATAAGGAAGGAATTTGCATTAAATGGAGAGCTTTCGCTACCCAAAAACCTATCGGAGATGTCGAGAAATGGCACTGCGAAACAAAAGCAAACCGTGACCTTGGTAAAATGATACGTGTACATTTTCACTTGGTTGATGGGCTCATGCATAAGATCATCGCTTTCACTCAATAGCAAGACGTAGCAAATGTGCCATGCATAAAGGATTCCGGAGCCATAGCTTCTACCTAGGCCAACAGCTCCGTTATTTTTCTTGTTCTTTCGTATTGACGGGCTCTTTCCAGGGTTTCACCTGCATGTATTCATGATCCCTATTGGATAGACGTCCCCCGGACAACTAGGTATATGCAGCGATGATCAACTGGAAGGACTCAAGAAAATCACGCGGAGGACCTACCCTGGGCCCGTCCGATTCCGTCAAGTACCAGGCGCAGGGCCTCCGTCTCGACGAGATCTCTCAGCTGCGCAAGGAATTCGTGACTGCCGCTCTGCGCGCGCAGAAAGCCGGGCATGATGGCGTCGAGGTACACGGTGCCTTCGGGTGGATTCTGATGCAGTTCCTCTCGCCGGAGATCAACCAACGGTAGCGGGTCGTTCGAGAACCGATCCCGGCTGCTCTTCGAGGTCATTCACGATGTGCGCGAGGTGTGCCGTCCGGACTTTCAGATAGGCATGAGACTGTCGCTAGCCAAGCGCTACGGTATTCCCCTAGCGGAGTATCGGATGGTGTCGGCGCGTGCGCTGATGGACGACGCCCTCGACTATCTGGATCTGGCATTGGACGACTACGCCAGATCGGCGGATGAGCCGCCGTTCGAGGGTCGAAGTCCGCAGCATGCGGCCACTGTTCTGGACGCTGGGTTGGACTTTGTGATGGTTGGTAGAGCGGCCATTCTGAATCCGAATTTCCCAAATGATATTCAGAAAAACCATGACTATAGGCTTCCGAGTCTGCCGGTTCCTGCGAGCCATCTGAAAGAGGTTGGCTTGTCCGAGCCGTACCTTAAATATATGACAGCGTGGCCGGGCTTTGTTACGCAAGAAACAGGGGGCTGTTAATAGGAACAGAGGTTCTAGTTTCATGGATGTTTCGAAAGCTGGGTGGGTTCCCATTCTATCTCCGAGGGTGACCTTGTACAATAGCGAAGTAACTGAATCTAGAATCAGCATAGATTTCCTCCAATTTAGAACAGACTTTGTGATTCTTTTCGATAACTAGTTACGTTCAGTGGCATAGGCATACTACTCTGTTAATCTAAATATATATATATACCGCTGCTCCTGGCTAGATAGTATCTAGCTTAAGGTTTCCTTTTTGGATTGACCTACGACATCGTGTAATTCAACAGAGCCAAGGCACCAAAGCCTTTGAAGCACTTAACTAGGTTAACTCACCCCTATTGTCTAGGTTACAATGAGGGTATACTATCAGAAATCAAAGAGTAAACAAATCAAAAGAAGATAAATCTATAGCATAAATGAAATAATAGTCTAATTACTGTACCTGATAGGCTAATATGTGAACTTTATATAAACTGTTATTCAAATCAGAAGATTCAAGCTTATGCAGCCTTGAAGAACAGGTCCAGAGACGGAAAGACTTGGGAATGACAATCAGCAGCTGCAATAGGCCTCGATCACGGTGTCGGTAGGACTTGTCCAAGCATGCGTTACGGAAATCAAGTGTAATATGTAAAGATTATGCATTCCTCCCAATATTAACCAATAAAGAAAATTATAGACTAGTCACTGATAAATGATAGAAAAAGTATATCAGAAAGAAAAAAGAAAAAATAGAAGATATCCACCATCATCGTACAAAGAATCCAAAAGAAAAAAATAAATCATAATAGAATAATCCATCAATCGTCAAAAAAATCGAGTATGGTATCCCGAACAAGAAATAAAAAAATAAAATATATATCAGAGTCAAAATGTCCAAATCACCAAGAAAGAAATAAGAAGGGAAGAGAAATGGCATGAAGTCCGAAAAGGTTATGAAATGATGACATCAACCCAACATCGAGTTAATCATCCAAGGCAATGAATGAATGAATAATCTACAGCAACATTGCTGCTCCCACCGCAACGATCAGCCCCAGCTTCGACATGTCCAGCTTCAGGCCAGATGCGCTACTTTCCGAGTCCGAGTTCGTCGGCACGGGCGTCGTGGTGGGCTGCTCCGTGGAGTCGGCGTATGCGGTGGCTTGCGTCTCAACCAACACGGCGGGCTTGACGGTGTAGCCTGCCCATCCGGAGGGGCTGTGGGTGGACACGAAGCCGGAGCTGGGGGTGCGGCTGGACGAAGACGGGGTGAAGGTTGGCGGGGGAGTGGAGGTGGGAAGGAAGGTTGAAGTTGAGGTAGGTGGGGGCGTGCTGGAAGTCGAGGTCGAGGTCGAAGACGAAGTTGAAGTCGACGTCGGGGTCGGGGTAGTGGAAGTGGTGGTCGGGGGGATGTAGGTGCTGCTAGTCGTGGAGGTGGTGCTGATTATAGTGCTGGTGCTGCTGGAAGTAGTGCTGACAATGGAACTGGTGCTGATGCTGGTAGTGCTCTCGACCGTGCTTGTGGACGCCGGCGTGGAAGAGACAGACGACGAGGACGAGGACGATTCGTCATCGCCACCGCTGCTGCTCCCGCCCTTGTCGAACACGACGATATGAGCCTTCTCGCCCTTGTTCACGGTCACCACGCAGAACGCAGCGCCTCCGGCACCATCCTCCGAGCTGCCGGTCATCTCGTTGACGCTGTTCACGGCGGGATCGATCCGGCAGGGCAGACCGTTGCACCCGTCTCCTTCGCACTCGATCTCGACACCGAACTCGGGCACCTCGTTGCGGAACGGGGTCGTCGGCTCCAGATAGATCGGGTTCCAACCGATCTTCAGGAAAGTGCTGCCGTCGGAGTCGGTGTTCGCACCGGCCACGTAGGGCGACCAGTTTCCGTACGGGTTGGACGAGGTACCCCAGACGCAGGCGGTCTCGGGGCCGTATCCAGGCGGGTTGATATAGAAGCTAATATCGTCAGCATGACCATTAAGAAAGATTGGAGCGAGTGAGTCCAAACATACTGTGCAGCGGTCTCACACCAGTAAGAGGAGTCCGGCACCGCAAGGGTCGCCAACTCCTGCACCAGCGTGGGGATCAGCATGGCCTCATTACCGGGCAAAACGGTCTGACAGACGGAGACGTCTCCGCCCTTGCATTTGTTGTGCACGCCCACGGACCCCGTGCCGTCCTTGCAGTAGGGCTTGTTGGGGAACGGCTTCTGGATCTGGCCGTCCTCGTCACAGTACAGTCCACCATTCTATGCTAGTCAGTACACCCACGTCCATCACCAATATGAAAGGTTACTCACCATCGACAGGGGGTAGCTATACGAGGTCGCCTCAGGATCCCACTGCATAGACACCTGTCCCGGGGGGCACGCGTAGGGACAGTAATTGCCGGGCTTGCAGGGCTGATCGGGGCTCATGGCCCATCCGCCGTTCTTCATCTTGGGCGTGACGGAAACCAGACCAGCATCGGAGGGGAACTCGCACTGTCCTCCGCGTTTCTTCAACGGCGCTTCAGTTTCGACTCCGACATCCGCGGCGGAATGCGGGTGGCGGCGGTCATGGTGGTGGCCGTGCTGAGCTGCTTGGGCCGTCGCGAGGAAGGCGAGCACGGCGGTTGCGGTGGTGAACTTCATGTTGCTGGTGGATTCGAATAGGAATATACAGGGTAAGCTTGTTGAATGTACAGATATGTATGAAACCGGACAAGGAATGCGGTTCGTATATACAGCGTTATACTGGGATTGATAGTAATAGTGATCGTGATATCAAAACGAATGGCTGAATCGCGAAGATTCGGATAGACGTGATACGGCGATTGATTCCAGAATGGAGGATAACGAAAGACTAGGGTCAGAAGGGCGATCCCCAAAAGAACGACTGAAGAGAGCGACAAGAAGAACGAAGGAACGGAGGGGGATCAAGAATCAACGACCCAGAAAACACGCAACGGAATCACGACGGCCTCGAAGAAGAAGAAAGGAAGAGAGAAAGAGGAGCGAAAAACGGCGCGAGGGCGAGGAAATACCCTCCGCTGGCTAGTCTCTACTCTAACGATCTTCCCACCAGCTCAGACCAGCTCCCCGCCAAGTTTTCGACTCCCAAGGCCGAACCATCTCGAGGCTATTGAGCCGATCTTTCCCCCTTTGGGAAGCCTCGCCGGGGACTATTCAGGGGTCGCGCCAATCAGGGCCCCCAGCGCCCCGGGGGTTCATGAGGAGGGCCCCACCCCAGCTCCCGCCATTGGTGGAGGGGCCGTGCAGGGTTCGACTCCTTTTGCCGTCCTGCAGCTGGTTTATACCTCTTTAAGTCGCTGCGTGTAACCCTCTTAACCCGCTTCACCCTCCCTCGAGTCGGAGTAGCTTCAATAATGCCCATCATTCAGCCACGATCGGCACTGTCCTTGTCAGCTGTCAATTATTATTATTATTTATTATCATTGATGGTGGTCCACCCTGTTTGCTCCTGCTCGTGTAGTACAAGATAGGGGGCAAATAGTGGGCTGGGAGACCAAACTCTGTTTGCCTAGAGTCCTCGACACGACCCAAGACGCTCGGGGCCTTGGGGGAGGAACTGCCGAGACCGGTTTACTGCTTGGGGCTTAGTCGGTCGTAGACCACCTACCGGCTGGAGTCGGTCTCACTCTATACTTCGTGGCTGCTATACAACAAAATGTATGCCTACAGTGCCTGCAGGTAGGCATTGGACACTATAAAAAGATTGCCGGTGGCTTATACCTGCACCATAGGGAACTCGAAACCCAGAGAAACAAAGAAACATCTTACAAGGTATATTTATGGAGGATGACGAGCCTCGGTGCTAACTGCTGACTGGCTTAACTGGTTGCCCTGCCCTGCCAAGTCCCTCCTGCTGGCTGTCAAAATCCTTCCACCCCTCAAACCCTCCCCCACCGACCACTCCGTCCCGCCAACCCCAAGCGACGCAATAATGCTGCGCCAGCAGATTCCACTCCTCCATCTCGTCCAGCATCTCCAGGCCCGCCACCCGTTCCTTCTCCGTCTCGTCTACCCACCGCTCCCAGATGAAATGCACATCCGCCGCCGCCTGCCCGTGCGCGAACCCCTGGTCGCGCAGCCGTTGCCGCTGCGATTCTAACGTCGCGTACTGGTGCAGCGTCTGCAGCTGGATGGCGCGCGTCGCCAGGTTGGAGACCATCGTACGTCCGAAGGCGTCGTGCGGTCGGATTGGCTCGTACAGGATGAGGCCAAGAGGGGCACCGCCGTCCTGGTCACCTGTCGCTGCCGGGAACAGCGTCTGCGTGAAGAAGTTGACTACGTCTGTAGCCTCGCTGGGTGTGAGGTAGATGAGACAGCATTCGGAGATGAGAAGCGTAGGGAGCGTGGGATCGACGTCGCGTAACAAGGCCCGTGGGTCGTCGGTGCCATTATCCCCGCGGTCTTCCTGCCCTGGTAGGTTTGTGGCTGTGGTTGTGTTTGGGTTGGGGTTCGATTTCGCCTGGGGCCTCAACCACCGCAAGTCCAACGCATGCAAGTGATACGTCTCCGTATGCAGCGCATCCCCGCTTTCCGAGATCTCGACCTTCGCGCTTTCCGGCGCCGACCGCCCGATTATCCCCACTGCGCGCTGGAGGTGAGGCGCCGCGCGAATCAGCCGGATCTTGGCGGCTGTGTTGACGGCGAAGTCGATCTCGTGATAGATCAGGTCTGGGTGTGAGGGTAGGAGTCGAAAGGCACGCGTGTCGGAGCCGGCTCCGAGCGAAATGATCTGTTTTTTACTCTTCTGGTGAGGGGTAGATGGTTGAGTGAGGAATCGATGGACAAGTTGGTCGATCGCGGCGGTGCGGACGTAGGTGCCTGTTTCAGGCGAGGGTTATGGCGTTAGTTGGGTGCGAGAGCCAATGGCATGGGATGGGGTGAGTAGGGGGGAATGGAGTCACCTCTGTTAATAATGGGCAGCCGTCGTGTCTTTAAATCGGGGGGCGTTAATGCCCTAGCAAATGGATCTTCCAGGTATCCTAATCCCACGGCGCTCAGCCGGGAGACGCTGGCATCATGGTCGGTGCCTTGAACCACTCGATCTTTGCTCCCGCGAGAAGGAGGGCCGCCAGCGAGACCGCCTCGACCGCGTAAACGACCCCGTCCGCCGCCTCTTCGGAGAGTGTTGAGATTGGGGATCTGCGAGGCCGACATGTTTACGAGAGGAAGCTCCGAGAAAGCAAGCGAGACGCGGCGGGATGGTTGCTGGACAAGTGGGGTCACGTTACCCCACCTGTCGGGCTGGATGGATTGCGTCAGTTTGCATGCTTTGTTTCATTCCTCGTTATGCTGTACGCTATACGCTATACGCTATACTATACACGCGCCATCTAGGTATCTATTGTCCCCCTCTCTATCACTCTATACATAGACAAAATTGTTCCGGCACAGCGGACACGTACTCTGGTTGCTGCTCTTGAACCAGCGGAACAGACACACCGAGTGGAACGTGTTCTTGCAGGTCGCGCATCGCTTGTTCGGCGTCTGCATGTCCGTCGAAATCACCGAGTAGCAAATCGCACACTCGCTCTGTCCCTTCAATGCGCCCTGCACGTTCTTGCGGAACGCCAACAGCCCATCCACCAGGCTGCCGTTCGCAAACATGATCACTCCCTGGATCGTCAGAAGCCAGTTCTTCCACTTCTTCTCGTCGACCAGCACGCGGCTGCGACCCACAACCACGGCGGGCTGCAGGGGGTAAGCCGGAGGAAGCGAGATAGACAGGGAGACGGGAGGCGACTCTTCGTCGACCGGAATGCTGGCAATGATCTCGGCTGTCTTGGGAGAAATCTTAACCGCCAGTGCGCGCTCTTCGTTGGGGTCCTGCGTCGACATCCAATCCGTGATGCCCTGAAGTGCATCTACGATGACCAGGGGCGAGACCTGTCGGGCTAGATTAGCTTGTGCATATTGGTATTGAAAAAAACATGCGGCTTACATGTTTCTCGGTCCACGCCTCCACCGGCCCCTTGATGCGCTTCTTCGTGTCAATCCACCAATTCTTGGTCATGTTAGCCACGTGCCTCAGACACAAGAAGTACAGATGGACAAGAAGCCACTGGGTTTCTCTCTCGTAGGTCTCCGACTGATCCAGCTTGAAGGACCGAATGTCAAACTTAGACGCATCTAGCATCTTTCCGTGGGAGCCCTGGAGGAAGTCAAACATGAATTCCAGCAACGGCGCCAGCGTGTCGTTTTCCTTGATGCTAGTCACGTAGTTTTCTTGGACAGTGAGAGACTATTTTATCGTTAGCGTTAACCGCAATTATCTTTCTCTCTGAGCGTGGGTAACATACTGCATTGGTAAAATGGTCAAACACAACCTTCCAGCTCAGAAGATATGACCGTATATCAGCCCAAGTCCGGTCATCGCCATAGGCAAGATTGACAGATGCCATCGTGGGAGCTTCGAGTAGCAGAGACATGAGTTCGTCGGGAAGTCTGACGGTCGTCTTGGATAACGCCACGTCAAAGGAAATTTGTTCTTGAACGCTCGGGATATACCGGTGGAGAATGGTGTAGGCGGCCCGCTGGACGGTGCCACTATGCGCGGTCAAAAGCGGGAAAACTTTGCTCACATCCTCAAGACTGTCGGTAGGAAGAACATTGAGCAGGCGGCTGAGGCGGTCGACGGCGACATCGCGAGGTTGATAGAAAGTAGTCGAAGAATCTGGTCTGTCAGAAGTATACCTTGTGTATGGAGTACGGTAAGAACTCACCAAATTTGTGCAGCGTTGAAGTTAATCGGTTGAATAACACTGCCTTGCGATCCGCCCAAGCATCCTTTACGTCATCATTACTCTCTTCATTATCCACAATTGATTTCAAAGAAGCAAGTAGTCGGAAAGAGGCCAGGAGCAACGGCAAGGCTTCATCACCGCCACTGATGTCTTGCCAAATCGCGCTGAGGACATCCATGCTTTCCTCCCAGTGAGAACCATACATCTCGTGAATGCAAGGCAAGACGTATGTCAAACTCTGCAAAATCTCGGCCTTGACGCTCAGAGGCGCACTCTCAGACTGAAGACACTGAATGAGATGCTTGAGGAGGAACATCAACCTCTGCGTTGGGATGGATGCAGCTACGCTCTCATCACCTGCCAGGAGAAGGTTGAGCAACGACAGTTTCCGCAGGCCTAGTCATAATTAGCGGTTATATCAGAATCGAATTTGGGAAACCTACCGTCCTTCTTCTCGTCTTCGGGCTTTAGGCCTGTAGAGTCCGCAACGAGTTCATTGCAGAGTCGTGTCCCGGCCGGCATAGAGAGAATCGATTGACGTAACAGAGACATCCACGATGCAGTACGAACGGCGTTGGCTGTCCGAACGCTTTTACATAGTTCTGTAAGTTCTTCCGGAGTCTTGGATTTGTTCGACGAATCCACACTGCCCAGAATTTTCACGAAAGATTCTCCGATCCGGTAGTCCGACGGAGAAGTACTTTGGAGCCCCTCAAGCTTCCTTTCCCAGAAAGAGGTGATCGTTGTGGCAAGAGTGTCTTTAGAGTGGACCCACCCGCTGATTACCTTTCGGCCATCATTGACAACCTCCATGTACTCCTCTCGCTGCTCGGGAAGCGTAAGGCCCGTTATGCCATTGGAGTTCTCAATGCTGAGATCATCATCAACTAACTGCACTGCGAGGGGGAGATTATGGAAAAGGGTTTCAAGCTCATCCGTGCCGAGATGCCCGGCGAGGTCAAATAAGGAGAGTACTTTGGTGGTGAAATAGGCCAATCTAAATGCGGACGAACAGTGGCTCGAGTCGCGCGGGACAGCTTCATAACGCTCCCCGAAATCAGCGGCCAGTTGTCGGTTAATGAGATGGACCGTGCCGCCAAGGGGGCTAGTGATAGCAGTCGATGACCGGGGGGGAAGCTCAAGGAAGGGGCCAAGAGCCTTTTCCCAGGTCTCACGTCCTGGTAAAATCTCCTTTGCCACGGAACCAATATCCTCGGGTTTGGTACTGTGTAGTAGCTCTTCAGCTATACTCAAGAGAGATTCAATCCTTTTCACAGTTAGTAACATTGCGTTGGGACCTGCCACGGCAAAACTTACGAAAGCGACTCAGCATTGACAAGTTCAAAATTGTGCTGGAGAATCTCGACGCTTGACCGGGCGCTTGTTTCGCCGACTACTGTCTTTTTCAACGTCTTGATCAAAGATTCTGAAACATCCGCAACTTCTTCCGACGGCGATTCAGCGAGGAAGTGCAGTTTTCCGGTCAATTTGGAGCCATGCGAGCCACTTTGGAAGCCCCGAAGAGCAGTCGGGACGGAAGTAGCAATTTGGGAGAGACCGTGAAGTGTATCCAAAGCTTTGTTCTCATCGGATAGGGCATCGATAAGCGATAAGAAGATTGAGTCCGTAAGTTCTCCATGAGAAGACTGGTTCTGTAGAACAGCGATAACAATCGACCAATGCAGGCTGCTACCCTTACAGGCTTGGTCTAGGGCTCGCATGATCAATGAACCAAGCACACTTTTCCCGTCCACCTCTTTGAAATTGAGGGTGGAGAGCAATTTCTGAACAGCGTGTGCGTTGGACGACTCCGGTTCGGACTTCGCCACTTGCTCAATGATCTTGCCGAAGCTCTCGCCAAAGCCGTCCCAAAACCGACAAGTCAAGATTATGGAAATCAGACGATCGGCAGATGGCGACGACAGAAGCTCCGGGGCGTCATTCTTGACGAATTCTACCAAAGCTTGAGAACGTTGAGCGATCTGCGCGACGTTATTGACCATGCCTTCAACCACCGCGGCCGCTCCGTAGGGCTTGCCGTTGCGGGTCTGAAGGACCTGGATGCAGCTTTCAAGTAACGGCGAATTCGTCTTCTCGAATATACCTAGCATTTGAGTCTCGCCATCCGTTCCGGCTACCCGCGAAAGCACCAACGCCTCTAGAACTAAAAGACGTTCGGCCTGAGAACACACTTCGTCCTGCGACACGTTGAAGTCCTTCGATTGCTCCGGGGAAGATAGCTTGACGGCCTCAAGTAGGCCATCTGTCAGTTCAGTCCACACCCTTTCCACTTCACCAGCCTGGCCGTGAGCCAGCAGTCCTTCAAGATAATCAATGGTGATGTTCTTAGCGGACAAAGCTGGAAGTGACCACTTCGACCGATCTAGTTCAGGCTTGGCATATTGCGCCAATAGAGGAGACAATCGTTCTTGCAGGAACTTTGTCTTCTCCTCAGCAGGTAGTCGCTCTACAAGCCACATCCCGGTATCAACGTAAGCCTTCCAGGCAACGGCGTGGTTTTGTCGGGGCTCGTCTCTCGATGTCAGCCCTTCTTGGAATGCCTCGGTTAAGGCAATTGCCCCTGTAAACCCAATCTGCGATTCGCCGTTTGCCAATGTCTGTACCGGAATTATCAGAAGTAGCTGGTGTAGGTTTGGCCAGAAGGAGCCCGCGCCGCCTTGAGAACCCTTTTGCATGTATTGAAGCAGCCTCTTCGTTGCAGAAGATTTGCCGGAATAATCGTCCGTCCATAATTGAGGCCTTGCAGATGTGGCCTGAAGTAGGGATTCGGACAAATCTGAGGACGATCCTAATTGAGAGGCGTGTAGTGATTTGCCGATCAAGGCTGCGCTGACGAGTTTCCAATCGAGCTCTTCAGGCTCCTTGGCCACTGCCGAGCGCACGAGCGTATAGATGGACCTGCGGACGAATGGGTCATCGTGGTAGCATAAAGCCCATAACGATTTACTTGTAAGGAGGTTTTGTACAGTTGGAAGATCCTTTTCAAGTTCTTCGTGGGTTGAGTTGCCTGAGTTGATGGTGAGAAAAGAGGACAAAAAAGAGAGAGAGAGAGAGAAGAGAAAGCGCTCAACGATATACAATGGATTATCTTACCTATAATTCGATTAAATAGTAGAATTGCAGTTCCTACCACGCGCGCATACTTCGCTTCCGCGTCGTCGGGCTTGACGGTGCGCTCGTCGCTCAAAGTCTGCGGAGTTTGTTGAAGAATGACATCATCTACAAAATCCAGGATGGAAGTCTGATAGACCTTCCACACGCCTTTTCGCTTTTCATCCGTGGAGAAAACCCGCGTAAAGGATTCTAGAGCAGAGCGATGGACTGGCTTGTCATTATCATACAGGCCTGCAAGCCATGCGCCGACTACTTTGGGTAAAAATCGGGCGATTCTTTTCCCTACCAACGATGACACCGATCCTTGAATAGTATACGCCGTTTGCCTCACTCTACGAGAGAGATCGATCGACGCCCGGGGGTATATTTTTACCTGTTCACACCGTAAGTTGGGTTCTTGTCATTACTCCAACCTATACAATCCACTGTAATCGCTTACCCAGGCTTCCAGGAATCCGTCATCGAGAGTGCCACCGCTGCTTTCTACACCCGAAACAAAATCCCTCAGCTCATCTAATGCTCGCGTCCTTGTAACCTCGTCCTTTTTCAGAAAATTCTTGAATGCGATTGCCAACTGTGGCTCCGATATGCGCGACAAGTCCGGGGGCTCGGCGACGTAGGTCAAGGAAGACGGCTCCCTTCCCTGGGTCGAAAAGGCACCTGAGAAACTCCCAAAAGAACCAAAGGCTCCGGCCGCGGCCCGGCTACTCGACGCTTGGGACTTGAACTTTTTGCTCATAATAATGTGGGGTAAAGTGGGATGGATGGATAGATGCGACTGCGATCAAATGAACGAGGGGCGGTTTTCACAGAAATCCTCTAGAAACCAAAGTCAATGATCGGTAGAAAGAAGTTCAAGCAGAGAAGCAACACAGAAGGGAGGGTCGTTCATCCCAGACAAGAAGAAGTCGAGGGACGAGAAGAAGATGTCTGAGGGCAGAAAGGATGACGGCGGGCCATCGGCGTCTCTATCGGGACGGTCACGTGGGCTGGTGTCATCGATGGCCCAAACGCGTGGGTCTTCTTTGACCTTTGGGAAAGTCCGGAAGGTGAGAGCTTCTGCTGCTTCTGCTGCCCCGTCCGGAGCATCGCGCTGGCCCGTCACAATGAAGTTCTTCATTGAGTAAGTTTCTGTTCCTCCTCCTGCAGCTCATGCACAGTTCTAACTGTTCCCTTCTCTCTTCTCTCTTCTCTCTCTCACCAGTGACCTGCCCGTCCTCTTCCCGTACCCTCGTATATATCCCGAGCAATATGCCTACATGTGCGACCTCAAAAAGACCCTCGATGCCGGGGGCAACTGTGTCCTGGAGATGCCCTCGGGTACCGGGAAAACAGTCTCGCTGCTGTCGTTGATTATCGCCTACCAGCTACATTATCCGGAACACCGCAAGCTCATCTACTGCTCTCGTACCATGTCAGAGATCGAAAAGGCGTTGGCCGAGCTGAAGGCGTTGATGAAGTTTCGAACGGACCAACTTGGATACACAGAGGACTTTCGAGCGCTCGGTTTGACCAGTCGAAAGAATTTGTGTCTGCATCCGTCCGTCAAGAAGGAGAAAAGTGGCACGGTCGTCGATGCGAGGTGTCGGAGCTTAACGGCGGGTTTTGTCAAGGAAAAGAAAGAACGCGGGGAGGATGTTGAGCTATGCACATATCATGAGGTACGGATAACGAGGCCGGCCGTGTTCCCTCGAACTGAAAGCTGATGCGTCAAATAGAACCTGGATCTACTCGAGCCGCATAACCTCATTCCTCCTGGCGTTTTCACTCTCGACGGTCTACTCAAATACGGCGAGGAACACAAACAATGTCCCTACTTTTCGGCACGACGCATGGTGAATATCCTTGAGCTTCGCTAGCTTTCGGCTTCAGTTATACTAATCCGCTTCAAACAGATGCCATTTTGCAACGTTATAATCTACTCATACCACTACCTATTGGACCCGAAAATCGCGGAGCGGGTCTCAAAGGAGTTTTCAAAAGACTGTATAGTGGTCTTCGACGAAGCACACAATATCGACAACGTCTGCATCGAATCTCTCAGTATCGATATCACAGAAGATTCGTTGCGCAAGGCCACAAGGGGAGCAAATAACTTGGAACGGAAAATCCACGAGATGAAGAGCTCGGATGCCGAGAAGCTGCAGAACGAATATTCAAAGCTTGTCGAGGGACTAAGGGAAGCAGAACAGGCGCGCGAAGAAGAGCAATTCATTTCGAATCCCGTCCTTCCGGATGATCTGTTGAAGGAGGCCGTGCCGGGCAACATCCGTCGTGCGGAGCATTTTGTCACCTTCCTCAAACGATTCATCGAATACCTCAAGACCCGAATGAAAGTCACGCATACCGTTTCCGAAACGCCCCCTTCGTTCTTGACCCACGTAAAGGACCTGACGTTTATCGAACGAAAACCCCTTCGCTTTTGCGCCGAACGACTAACGTCCCTCGTGCGAACGCTAGAACTTATTAATATAGAAGACTACCAGCCCCTTCAAGAGGTGGCGACATTCGCGACTCTGGTCGCAACTTATGATAAAGGATTCCTTCTGATTCTCGAGCCGTTCGAGTCAGAGGCGGCCACCGTGCCGAACCCCATCCTACACTTCACTTGCCTTGATGCTGCGATCGCCATCAAACCCGTCTTTGACAGATTTAGCTCCGTTATCATCACTTCGGGAACTCTGTCGCCCCTGGAGATGTATCCAAAGATGCTGGACTTCACCACCGTCATGCAAGAATCGTACAGTATGACACTTGCACGTCGTTCCTTCCTTCCGATGATTGTGACCCGAGGATCCGATCAAGCGCAGGTCTCTTCGGGATTCCAGATTCGAAATGACCCCGGTGTTGTCCGCAACTACGGAAACATTGTCCTCGACTTCGCCCGCATCACCCCCGATGGTGTCGTCGTTTTCTTCCCGTCCTATCTGTACATGGAGTCCATCATCAGCATGTGGCAGGGCATGGGTATCCTGGACTCGATATGGAACTACAAATTAATCCTGGTCGAAACCCCCGATGCGCAGGAATCGTCCCTCGCGCTAGAGACCTACCGAACCGCCTGCTGCAACGGCCGAGGCGCCATTCTATTCTCTGTCGCACGAGGCAAAGTCTCCGAAGGTATCGATTTCGACCACCACTACGGACGCGCCGTGCTGTGCATCGGCGTTCCCTTCCAGTACACCGAATCCCGCATCTTGAAGGCCCGTCTCGAGTTCCTCCGCGAGAATTACCGCATCCGCGAAAACGACTTCCTGTCCTTCGACGCCATGCGTCACGCCGCCCAGTGTCTGGGCCGTGTCCTCCGTGGCAAAGACGACTACGGAGTCATGGTTCTCGCCGACCGACGATTCCAGAAAAAGCGCAACCAACTCCCCAAGTGGATCAGTCAGGCCATGCTGGAAAGCGAAACGAACCTCAGCACCGACATGGCGGTCGCCACGGCCAAGAACTTCCTGCGCACCATGGCCCAGCCCTTCAAGGCTAAGGACCAGGAGGGAATCTCCACGTGGAGTCTCGCTGATTTGGAAAAACATCGCGAGAAGCAAATGCAGGAAGAGGACCGAGTCCGGCGCGAAGAGTTGGCCAACGGCCATGGGGCGAACGGCGTCTATCATAATGGCGTGCCCGATGATGCGGATGAATTTGACGACAATATTGACGAAGACCTCATGATGCTGGATGCGCAGTGAAAAAACACCAACTTAATATCATTCCTCTTCCCCTTGTTAAAATAGATTTTCTACTTTTTGGCTATACTTTCTGTCTTCTTCCGCGATCTGTATCTGCTTTTTACTTACTGGAAATAAGTCCGCCCAACATGATGATACCACGGTGGTTCTATATGGTGTTTTTATTATAAAAGAAAAATTCTGACTCGAATTCAAACATCTCTACCAAAAGAAAGGGAATCCAAAACGAAATAAACTAATTTTGTTCTGCTTGTAGTATAGTATGAAAATGCTATCTAGAAATAAGAAAACAAAACAAGGCTTTTTCTTAATTCCGCTGAGACTGAACTCCAGAGGTCATTGGACACATCAAAATCACACAAGGAAAAAATCATAAAAGAAAATGCATAGATAAATACACACACATACAACATCACATTCACTCACTGAAACTGACGAACATATACAACAAAAGGAAAAGGATAATAATAGAAAAAATGATACAGGCAGGCTACAACAACCCACATAACGCACTTATCCACACCGATCGTGGGAATTAATTTAGGTGCTTTTAAGCCACAGGAGCAAGGACGTCGAAAGCACCGGTTCCCACGATTCCAGGACGACCGGCAACGATGCGACTACTGGGACTCTTCAGGTTATCGAAGTCTCTCTCGACGACAGCCTCCTTGAGGTAGCCGACGGTGGTTTCGAAGCTCATCTTGGACAGGGGCGAAGAGCTGTCCTTGACCAGGCCGTTACGGTTGAAACCGCGGAAGCTGCCGGACTGGGTCATCACGTCACCGATTAGGTTCAGGTGACGGTTGTCAACGGAGATACTGTGACCCTCGAAGACCTCGGACATCTCGCGGACGATGGTGGCGCGAGCAGCCTCAACACCGTACAGGGCCAGCATGTGGTAGATCGAGTTGGTGTAGAGCGAGTGAGGCTTGATGCAGTCCTGGTAATCGCGCATGGCAAGCAGGTTGACACCATCGGTGATGACGGTGGCGGGCTCGCCCTTGATCGGATCGGCCTCGACATACGTGCAGTTAGCGAGGCCGGGGATGGACTGGATGACGGCGCTGTGGGCGGCCTCCTCGACCAGAGGCAGGATAAGAAGCTTGGGGGTGGCAATGTCGTATTGCAGCTGGACGGTACACGAGTTGCCCTTCTTGGGGTTAAACTTGAACTTGGTGACTTCCGCGAACCGGCCCCGGATATCGTCTTCCCGCAATTTGCTGTCCTTTGCTTCCTCGTCGTCCGAGTCGGAGTCGTCGGCATCGGCCATCTCAACATCGCCCGTCTTGTTCTTTGTTGCAGCGCTGTCCTCGTCCTCATCCTCGCTGCCATCCTGGTCGTCGAGTCGTTGGATCATGTCGACCTCCTCGTCCTCAGCGTCCTCGTAAGAGATCTGGTTCGAGCGGTTCTGGGCACCCTTGGAGCGCTTGGCATCGTCACCGTCCTCCTCGTCATCATCATCTGCGTCAATTTCCGCATCGGCGACACCAGAAGCCTCCTGGACGGTGCCGACGGAGGCACCAATCTCAGGCTGAGCAGTCGAGTAGTTCTTCACCGTCTTCTCATCAACCCGCTTCTTGAGAGCACCTCGGGTGAGTCGCACAAGTTTGGGGATGAACTTATTCTGCAGCGTGTTTTGGATATCCTTGGTCGTGATAGCATACTCCGCCTTATATTCCTCTGCTGGGAAGAAGGAGACTTCAACGTCGTAGACCTTGGATTTCGTGCTGCCGGTGGAGATTTTCTCCGAAACGGTCACTTTGTCGACGACCTCCGCAATACTGAGCTTGCTGATTCCCTTGGCAAACCTTTCGGATTCCTCCTTGGACAATTCCTCGATCAGTTCCAGGGTCATGGTCGGCGTCATGATTGCGGCGCTAGCAGTCATGACGATTTCACGTAGTCGAGGAATACCCAGCGTCACGTTCTTCGCCGAGTGACCAGCCAAATGGAAAGTGTTCAGAGTCATCTGAGTTGAAGGTTCTCCGATAGATTGACCAGCCATAATTCCGACCGCCTCACCAGGGTCGATGACGGATTTCAAATACTTCATGTTCATCAAAGTGTCGAATGACTTCTTGCTAATTTTACCCTCGATGCCCTTCTTCTTGTCCTTCAAGAGCTCGTTGGTATTGCTATCCTCGTACTGTAAAGAAATTAGTTAGTCGCCTGTGTGTTGGGGCGAGGTTTATCATTCGTTCACATACCTTCTTGAGCGCCTGGGAGAATAATTCTGACGTACTGCCCAGGTTACCACCGGGGTGGTAAAGAGAAAGTACGGGGTCCATAGCGTCAACCTTTCCGGTCTTGCGCACTGCCTTCATAGCGTCCTTGTGCCAGTTGGTGACTTCATCCTTCGCCAGGTTCTGGAAGTCGTTGGTCAGGTTGACTTGAGACATGATGGACTTGTGGTTGGATGCCAAGAAATCGAAATTCTTAAGATGAACCTGCTTCGTGATATCCAGACCATCCTCACCGTACAGGAACTGCACGATGGATCCATCGGATACTTCTCGGACGGAGGTGTCATATTCGGCCCTCAGACCTTCCATACCCTTGATCAAGCAACGCTGCAAGTAACCAGATCTAGAGGTCTTGACGGCGGTATCGATAAGACCCTCACGACCGGCCATGGCGTGGAAGTAGTACTCTTGGGGCTTGATACCAGTCAAGAAACGACCGCAGACATAACCACCAGCCATAGGGTTCGTGTCGAAAGCCCTGAACGACGGCAGGGTCTTACCACTGATCATGACAGGAACACGGCGACCTTCCAAAACCTGTTGACCCAGGTTGCAGGAAATCAGGTTCGCGTTAACACCGGAACCCTTGGCACCGGAGATGGTCATCGATTGCATTTGGTTCCACGGGAAAGGCTTGGCCAATCCGCCCGGAAGACAGGACTTGGTGATCTCGGTAGACAGCGTGGCAGTGCGAGCGTTCGAAACGCTATCCAAACCAGCCTGTTTCTCTTCGTCTCGAAGCACGTCCTCCAAACGTCGTCGCAGTTCAGCGTCCTCGTCGGGCACGTTGGCATTGTCGAGAGTCACGTACTTCAGCGCAACTTCGCGACCAATACCATCAGCCTTCTTGAGGACTTCCTTACGAGTGCGATCGCCTTCCTTGGTCAGGCGGAGATCGTCGATACCGCAAGTAAATGCTCGCATGTTCAGGAATCTCGTCAGGAGACGTCCAAGGATACTAATTAGTCTTCCAGCGATGGTGTGACCGTAGATTTCGTGAATAGAGTCAATGAGACCACCAGCAGTAGGTCCAAGCTGTTTCTTGTCGAGAATACCAATGAGGAACTCGCCATCCTTGAAGATGACGTTTCCTTCTTCGTTGCCTTCGCCCCATCGGTCACCGGGCGTCGAAGACTTACTCGTCATGTTCAAACCAGCTCTTCCAGGAGGCATGATGTTCTTAAGGATGGTTGTAATGATCTGCTTTCCTGTCCAAAGAGGCTTCGGGCGAATGATGGTTGGGTCAACCAGCTGGATGCGCTCCGTGATGGTATGCGAATTCTCCGGTCTCAAGCAATTGTAGAGCAGCTGGTGGTAGTCGTCCTCGTCAAAGAAGCTGTCTCGGCAAGTGAACCATGTTCCCATTGAAATATGATCCTGAATCAAACCACGCAAGGGTTTTCCAGATGTCGCAACGAGATACTGGTGGTCCGCGTCTGCAAGCATCATAGCCTCGGACCGCGCAAGCTCGTTCTGCGGGAAATGCATGTTCATCTCGTCACCATCGAAATCGGCGTTGTAAGTATTACAGTTGGCGTAGTGCATGCGGATGACCTTCTCGTTAGGGAGCACACGCGCCTTGTGACCCATGATAGAGGGCTTATGGAGCGTGGGCTGACGGTTCATCAGGACAACATCGCCGGTGGTCAAATGGCGGTAGACCTTCTTGTTGCGGGATCCCTTGATGCGCCAGTTCGACGGTGCCAGCAGCTGGTTGGCCAGGGCGGTTCGCTCATCCAAACTCTTGAACTTGAGGTTCGTGACCTGTCCCACCTCGTTCTCGATTGCCATGGCACCCGGGTATTTGTCGGGGCCGTTGATAACTGCCTGCTTCATCTCCCAGAAGTTGTGGTTTGTCACCGGTTCCGGGTAGGTCAGCTTCTTCGCAAAGACCAGCGGCACACCGATCTCATTAGTTTCGATGTTAGGGTCAGGAGAGATAACACTTCGGGCAGCAAAGTTGACACGCTTTCCCATCATGTTCTTTCGGAACAAGCCCTCCTTCTTTTCCAGGATTTGTTTGATACCGTTCGGAGCCGCGAGGGCTGCCGCTCCCGAAAGCCCGCTTCTATCACGGTCAATCAGACCGTTAACCGTATCCTGAAGCTGCACGATGGCAGCAAGCAGATCACGATAATCGCGGGCACGGGTGTAAGAGCTGCCGCTCGATGTCTGTCGCTCCTTGCTGATCTGATTGATGAAGTCGCAGTGTTTCAAGATTTGGCTGAAAGGTTGGTTCTGCTGGGCCTCCATAATCTCGCCGGGTCCCTGAGGAGCAGCCGGACGATACTTGTTTGGCGGCACCAATATGCTCTTGATGAAAAACATGTCTGCGCTGACTTGTGACTCTTTCTTCGATAGAGGTCGAGAGTTATAAAGGAGACTAAGGATCTCCGCCTCTTTCTCAAAGAGCAGGGTGATCGCGGCATGGACCTCGGGAGAGGGCATGTATTGCCCACCGTCACCGGTCTGTCTCTGGCTTTCCTCCTCGGAGATGACGGCATTGCCACGAGCAACTTCTTCCTCTGCTCCATGGGTCTCTGAAACAACGCTGGCAGTATCCGAGACCCCGTTCGCAAGGGCCTGCTTCTCTTTTAGGTTGGACCTTTTGGCCTGTTGAACGAGGACAAGGGAGTTTGGCGCCTGGAAACCACCCTGTACCATAGCAAGTTTCGTCTTCTCGGGCAAGGCTTTTCGGAAGATTTTCGAGTACCGGTCTCTTCGGAATCCTGGAGAAACTCTTGACTGTGTGTCAGTAGCTGCTGACAAGCATGAAGAAAAATCATGCGGGGTGCTCGGGCTGTTGCAATACATACCCTTTACAGCTGGCACACTTCTTGATGCTGACAAGATCTTTAAAGAAGTCCTTGACCAAGGTACGTCTCTCTTCCGAGGCAATGGGGTTCTTGATGCCAGCCATGAGGTTGGCCAGTTTACCCGCGGCCTTGGCCTCCCGGATGGTTCTTTGAACGTAGTTGTTTCTTTTCGCGATCAGATCCTCCTCATCTTCGTCCTCGCTGCTGGAACCGTCGGCATCCTTCCCCTGCTTCTTGTCCTTCTTCTTACTCAAAGAATCGATGACGGCGGCCTCGTCAACCAATCCATGTTGCAACAGTCGCAATTTGCAGGTGTAGACATTAAGTTGGGTTCGGGACATTTGGAATCGATGGCAGTAAGCACACTGCGCTCGGAGTAGACGATACAATTGGTCGAAATGCGTAACATTGTAAACATGAACCGGAAGTTCGACATGTCCAGGATGACCAGTACAAGACCATGAGTTCAAGCGACAAGTCGTACAGCTACATCTGGTCAGTTTTTGTCCTCCCGCCCAATAAAAAAAAGCAAGCCCCTCCAAGAATTCTCCGAGAAAAGAACGACTATAATGAACTTACACATGATCACCCCACGCTCCCATAGCCGGATCGTACAATCCACCAGGAACCGGGTTGTTGAAGGAATCCAACGTCGGCGTATTGTGGATTCGCTTTACAGAGATAGCTTTGATATCCGCATCGTTGTAGACCCCAAAGTCAACCCCCGAGACGGCGGAGGCCACAGGACGTGCGAAGGTCGCCATGATTTCCTGCAGCTCCGTGAGCGACGAGCAACGAGCGACGCTTTGAACTGTGGTGGTCCTTGCTGGGGCTGCTGGCCTTGGAGAGGAAACGGCGGGATTCGACGGTCTCGACGCTGCGAAAAAAGTTCACCCAACTTTTTTTCTGCCGTGCGATGCCGCCCGCCCGATCCACACTGGGCCGCCCCGTGATTCCCGCTGCAACTCTCATCTCTTTGTCTTTCATCTCAGTGCCTGTTCTTGCGATCCCTCGTCCTCTGCCTTGATCCTTGGGTTTACCCCTGCTTACATCCTATCACCAGCTGTGAGCTGCTCTGCTGGTCCCAGCGGGTGAGTGGAGTGTTCTTTCCATCTCTCCAAAAAAATAAACCATGGACGGGTCAGGGCTGAAGCGACCTCATCCCGAGGAAGAAACCGATAATGCACAGAAAAGATCTCGCTCCAACAATGGCTCGCCACTACCGGGCCAAGGGGCGCCTGCTACGGGCAAGGTCGACATTGAGAAAATGGTAGCCGAAGCGAGAGCAAAGGCAGAAGCCGTCCGCGCTCGACTTCAGGCCGCAAGAGGAGGATCTTCGACCGCGCCCTCCCCTGCGAGCGCAAGCCCGACCCCTCCAACCGCAGCGAGCCCGGCTATGTCGAAACTGGAACAGATGAAGGCGCGAGTGGCAGCGGCCACTGGACGAGCCAACGCCGCAGCCCAGGAACGGCCCCCGGCGCCGGCACCGATCCCTCAGCCCCCTCCGCCTCCCTTTGGCGAACCTGACGATGGCCCATCACGAGCCCGAGGTGGTTTGGATGTCGGTCTGCATCCGGCGCTTCTTTCGGATACGGTCGAGTTTCGAGGTGGCAAGGGACGACACTCGGCACAGTCCAAACGTCGCACCGAGTCTCCTTTTACGGGCGGAAGATCAGATCGCGCGGGGCTGGATCTCTCCGGACCTTCTTTGGAGGAAATCAAGAACAATCCGTACTATGATCCGAGTCTGGGGCCCAAGGCGACGATCGCCAGGCCGCGACAAACGCGCCAGTTACTTTTCAACCAAAAGGGCAAATACATTCAGCAGGCCGCTGCTCTGCGTCGGCAGGCGCAGCTGGAGGCCATGAAGAAGCGCATCGCGCAGAGGGCACGACAAGCAGGTATTGATGAAGACTTGGACGTTGAAAAAGCGTTCCTTGTCCCCGCCCCGCCGGCGATTGAATGGTGGGACGAAGGTTTGGTGAACGGGGAAGACTACTCGGGTGTTGATGATGAGAAGAATCTCAAGATTGACACCCCCGACTCTATAGTGACGGTCTACGTCCAGCACCCCGTTCTTCTCGATCCTCCTCAGGACAAGCATCTATCCGAACAGAAGCCCATGTATCTCACGCCCAAAGAGCAGGCAAAGATTCGTCGACAGCGGCGAATGGCTGATCTCAAAGAGCAACAGGCGAAGATCCGTCTCGGATTGGAGCCAGCGCCCCCGCCAAAGGTCAAGAAGTCCAACCTTATGCGGGTTCTGGGCGAACAGGCCGTTAAGGATCCTACGGCCGTCGAGGCACGCGTGACGCGCGAAATCGCAGAGCGCCGTGCTAACCACGAAGCTGCCAATGAGGAACGTAAACTGACCAAGGAGGAGCGTCGGGAAAAACTTGCTCAGCAACAGGAGAAAGATGCCGACAAGGGTATCCATATGACGGTGTATAAGATTGACAGTCTGGCCAACGGGCGCAACCGCTTCAAGATCAGCAAGAACGCGGAGCAGAACGCTTTGACCGGTGTCTGCGTCATGCATCCTCGATTCAACCTGGTGATTGTGGAAGGGGGTGCACACTCAATCAACAACTACAGAAAACTCATGATGAACCGCATTGACTGGACGGAGAATGCAGGGCCCAACGCTGTGCGTGAGGGCAATCGCGAAGCTCAAGTGTCTTGGCTGTCCGCCGAGGACGAGAAGACGGGTGATCTGAAGGATCTCGGTTCGAACTCCTGCACTCTTCTGTGGGAAGGACAAGCTAAGGCCCGAGCCTTCCGCAAGTGGCTAGGTGCTCGAATCTGCGAGACCGACTCTCAAGCCAAGGACGTCCTAGCTCGAGCAAAGATGGATAATTTCTGGGCTTTAGCCAAGAGCTCAAAGCAAGCCGAATCATGATAACACACCCAATATCAAATCTGCTATCACAATCAAAATGCGTCATGTACAATAATCAATAATATTCCATAGCATTCCAAAATAGCATAGTGATGTTCTATAAAAAAAACCATGAGATGACCCCAACCGCGACACATAAAACTTTTGTTTTTGTCCAAACCCATCCAAAAGAAATGTCCGACTCCATACAAATGCAAACCCCATCCCACATAATGGCTCAGATCCAGAACCTTACCGTAGACCAAGAATGAAGAACCAAAAGGGAGGAAAGATGAACGTATCAAGTGATTACGGTTCTAGGAAGGAGGTGGCCCCTGGTTCTGGTTGTTACTGAGGTGTCGTAGTAGATCCAATTGCGCTTTGACCTGGTCAAAGTTCATCGAAGGGTTTTGCATCTGCTGCTGACCAGGAACTTGCTGTTGTTGCTGATACTGTTGCTGCTGTTGTGGCTGATACTGCTGCTGCTGTTGTTGCTGTTGCTGTTGCTGTTGATGCTGTTGCAAAGCCGCAAAGAATAAGGGGTTGATGTGGGCGTTGGAGGGGAGTTGCTGGTACGGGTTGGGTTGCTGGTAGGCCTGTTGGAACGGCATTTGGAAGTTGAAAGGCAACATGCCCTGAGGGAATGGCTGTTGCTGCGGCTGTTGCTGCTGCATCTGGGGCTGGAAGCCAGGGTAAGACGGCATCTGCTGAGGCATATTGTAGGCAGGCTGCTGATTTTGTTGGTAGGCTTGAGGGTTGAAGTGAGAAGCCTGGGGCTGAGCCTGGGGCTGTGACTCGGGACCCTGCTGCTGGTGATAGGGTTGGCGGTCATGATGCTGAGGTCTGGGGCCTCCCCGTCCACGGCCTCCTCGTCCACGGTCAGAGCCTCGGCCTCGACCGCGGCCACCGTGGAAGCCAGCGCTCCTGGAATGGGGGTCGTCACTCTCCACCGGCGCCTCCTGTCGGCCCATCATTTCATGCAGGTTCTTAGGGCGCGCCAGTGGCGTGTAACCATCTTCGCCGGTATTATCATCATAGTTGAGCTCGCTCTGGTTAAGCTTGGAGGGACCAGGCGGTCCTCGTTTGGCCCTCGAGCCATCGCCATGTTTAGCTTCCTTCTTCTCCTGGCGCTTCTGCTTCAACTTCCGCTTGTATTCAGCTTCGGCTTCGTCGTCAGAGAACTCAACCTCGTCCTCAGCAATTTCTTCGTCGTGGAAGTTTGACGCATCGCTTCCCTTCATTCCTTGGAGGGGTTGGGTGAAGACGAATGTCGATTGGCTTTCGACGTAGTAGATCGGCTTGTCCTTGGTGAGGCCGCGCGCCTCGATAGTAGCGGCGTCAGGGTATCGCACCGTGTACAACGGGTTCTCAACCCGTCCCAATGTCTCAGCAACTACGCCAGCAATGCTCCTATCTTCGAAACAAAGCAGGGAGCCGCCCTCAAGCACCTGGTATTCTCCGGTGGTATTCGCCGAAATCAGAACGGTGTTCTCAACGATAGCCTGCACATTACCCAACAGCACGATTTTCATATCCGGGGTGATGGTAACTTCGGGGAGAGCAGGAGCCTCCTCCATAACCTCGTTTGCCGTCCGAATGTGACCACCCGATTTGCCTTTGCCATCTCCTTCGTCGTCGGAGCCGAGTTCGGCCTGCATCAGGATGCGCGCTTGTTCTTCGGGGCTGAGAATCGGATAATCTTCGTCTTCAGAGGAGCTGTCATCGGACGAATCGGAGCTATCGGACGAGGACTCGTAGGGAGAGGAATCAACTTCCCATTCAGGGTGTTCTTCTTCTCCCTCCTCCCCCTCGGCTTGCGCATGTTCGGTAGGGCCTGCGACGGCGGCGCTACTGGGTTCATTGGTGTTCTCGCCATTGGTGACAGTCTCCTCGGGCTTATAATTCGAGGTCTCGGTCTGGTTGTGCTGTTGTCCGGTCGGTTCCACCTCCATCGCATCATGATTTTGGAGCCCAGTCTCTTTGGTCACTTCTGCGGTCGTCTCTGGCTGGTCCTGCGAAATGGATGACTGGGAGGCATTCTGGTCCTGCGTTATCGTAACACTCTCGGGGTTGGGAGAGCTCCAGGCAGTATTCGACTCGCTCGTTACCGACTGCAGGTCCTTGAGGCTATTGTTGACCAGATTCAACCCGGGGATAAGCGGCGCAGAGGTAGCCGGGGCAGGTTCGCTAGGTTGAGTCGGAGCAGAGGTTTGTTGATTCTCATTATTAGTCACCGGCGTCCCTATCGCCAAAGGAGTATTGTAGAAATCGCTTCCATCATCCGCCGGCGTCAATGCGATCGGCGGCGTATCGTTCATGCAAGCTCGTTTCACAGGCGGACCCTCATTCTGGATGTCCTGAGGGACAGGGGGTTGTTGATCACTCATTGTCGAATTCCCAGAGTTTCGGAGAGGGTGCGGTCAGACTCCAGGGTTTCAAAGAAGAAGAAGAGAAAAAAAATGTAAGGAAGTGGGTTGTCGCTTGAATGTAGAAGAAGAAAGCGACCAGAGACTTTTTTTTTTCTGCCGGAAGTGCCAAAGTTGCCGTGGCGGTCACCGGAGCAGCTCCATCGATAGTCGTGAGGTGTTCGAAGCTTCACTCTCGTCTCTTCTCTCGACAAGAACTCCATTCTATACTCTGACAATGGTTTCTGCCGGTAGGAACGTCGAGGTTCCCCCAGTTCCCGCTGGACGGGCTCCTCCTCGCACCAAGCAACGGTAGAGACTTCTCAGAGCTCAGATTTGGCCGCCCAGCTAACTAACAATCGCCCGCCGCAGTCCCCCTCCGTCGCCGTTCTACATTCCCTTAAACATCACTCTCTACGTGTGTCTCATCTCGAATGGAATTGCAGCTTTCCTTGCACCGATTCAGGACTGCGACGAAGTGTTCAATTTTTGGGAACCCACGCACTACCTTGATCATGGATACGGGCTGCAGACGTGGGAGTACTCGCCCGTATACTCGATCCGCAGCTGGCTCTACATCACCATCCATGCCTTCGTCGGTAAACTCGGCTCCTTCGTTGTCGGTTCTAAGAGGGCTGAATTCTACGCCATCCGAGTCTTCCTGGCCCTCTTCTGCGCTGCCTGTCAGACGAGGTTATACTCGGCCATCTGTCGGACGTTGAGCCCCCGCATCGGCCTGCTCTTTCTCATGGTGATCTCATTCAGCCCGGGCATGTTCCACGCGTCGGCCTCTTTTCTTCCGTCCAGCTTCACCATGTACATGTCCATGCTCGGTCTGGCGGCGTTTTTGGATTGGAGATCCGGTCAGAAGACGGCTCAGGGCATCATGTGGTTTGGACTGGGCGCGATCGTGGGTTGGCCGTTTGCCGGAGCGTTGATCGTACCTCTTCTGCTGGAGGAAATCGTCATTGGTTTTATTTCCGGGTCATTGCGCGCGGTGTTTGCAGGTGTTCTCGATGGAGCCCTGAGATGCCTGGTAATTTTGGTACGCTCTCATGCGCTCGTTCTAGAACTCTTCAGCCCATGCTAATCAATCCAGGCTGTGGAAATCGGCGTCGACTTCGCTTTCCTCCGAAAGTTTGCCATCGTGCCCTGGAACATTGTCGCATACAATATCTTTGGAGGTGAAGGCCGGGGCCCGGAAATCTTTGGAACTGAGCCGTGGACGTTCTACATCCGGAACTTGTTGCTCAACTTCAACATCTGGTTTGTCTTCGCTATCTCGGCGGCGCCTCTTCTCTTTTTCCAGGCCGCCTTCCGACAGCAGACGACCAGCAAGGAGACTCTCTGGCGCACCGTCACCCTCATCACGCCGTTCTACATGTGGTTTGCCATCTTCACCCTACAGCCGCACAAGGAAGAACGATTCATGTACCCCGCGTATCCTTTCCTCGCGCTCAATGCGTCCATCTCCTTCCACATGATTCTCTCCTACGTCGGGTCCGGCAACCCTCGAGAACTCATGGGACGGATTCCCGCCAAATTGAAGCTGGCAGCCGTCATGGCCGTGGTTCTGGCCGCCGTCAACGCCGGCCTGTTGCGAACCGTCGGTATGATCACCGCTTACAACGCGCCTTTGAAGGTGTTTGCCCCATTGGAGCAGCCCGGTGTTGCTCAGGCGGGTGATACGGTGTGTTTTGGCAAGGAATGGTATCGATCCCCCTCGTCCTTTTTCTTGCCTGAAGGGATGCGCGCCAAATTCATCCGCAGCGAGTTTCGCGGGTTGCTTCCGGGCGAGTTTCCTGACGCAGCGAGTGTGCCTTCGCTACTCGAGGGAACGTCGCGGATTCCCGAGGGCATGAACGATATTAACGAGGAGGATGTTAACAAATATGTAAGCTTTGTCATTTTCGTTCTACTATTATTCCAAACTAATCGGCTGCTAGGTGGACATCTCGCAATGCTCGTTCCTCGTCGACTCGTCCTTCCCCGGACAGGCAACCACGGAGCGCGAGCCCGACTACGTGCACGACGAATCGCAGTGGGAGCAACTCTCCTGCAAGGGATTCCTAGATACGTCACAGACCGGACTGCTGGGGCGGCTGGTTTGGATCCCGGACCTCCCTATCATCCCGGATCAATTCCGTCGCCAATGGGGCCAATACTGTCTGCTCCGGCGCAGAAGTCAGGATACCGCGGCCTGATAAGTCAATTTATGTATATTCATCGAATAGAATCATGGCAGGATGTCCCTGTTTGTAGGCCCGATGCGCCCTCGCATGTCCAGCTCTGGGCGGCATGCGGGGATTTCCTAAATAAGATAAGAAATCCCAGAGATAAGCTTCTGCCTTTCCCCATGACTTCGCGTCGATTCTCGCATCTGCAGATCGGATGTGCATGCCTATCTGGTCCCGTATCGATCCCATGTCATTCACTTGAACACTCTCAGCGGTGACTCCGGTTGTGGTAGAAAAGCATCATGTAGTCAGTCATCTTCATCGCACGGCTCGTATAGCATACCATCTGTCAATCATCCAAATACTCCGCCCACAAAGAATCATGCCCTTTGACCTCCTCCATCTCCGCATCGGCTCTTATCGTATCCAAGACATCACCGCCATTCTCCTCCTCTCGGTCCTCGTCACCTCTCTCATCGTACGCTTCATCCAAAAGAGATTACAATTATCTACTCGATCATCGACGACGAATCTCGAGCATAAATCGTCCGAGAGGAAACCAGGAGGTATGTCCACCTCCCTCTGATCCATACACATGGCCACCTGAATATACTGTACCATCGAACTAACCATATCATACAATCTAGAATGGATCCCCTCCGACTTCAAACGACCCCCTGCATCACCGTACCCAGACTGGGACGTGCACACCACCAAACCGATCCCATATCGGCCTTTTCGATACGGGCCGTGAGTTTACGACCAGGCCCGCATTCTCCCATCTCTCATGTTTTAACAATCACTGTAGGAAATACTTCATCACCATGGGACTCCGAAGCATGAACTGGGACGAGTGGATCGGTATACCACCCATCACCCTCTATACAAATTACATCGTGTCTAATGGATGGACGAAATGGATCTAGAACTCGATAATCACTACATTCGCTACCACGCCGATAAAGCCCAGCGCATTAAAGGTCGAGGCTCGAAGTGCTGTCGGACCGCGCCCGAGGCCATGGATGCGGCGATTGAGCTGTTGGAGGAATTGTACGTCTTTTTCCTGTTATCCTCCTATCTATTCGTGCACAGCATCTAGATCTAGATCCATCGCTCCCCCTCTACAGCCGACCCTACACAGCACATCATAGCATAGTCACCACAAACAAACAAACCAACTAACCCATCACTCAAAATACAGAACAAACTACCTCCCCGAACGCTACCCAACCCTCTTCCACCGCACGCCCACCGGCCTCACCAACCTCCTCACCCACGAAACCTTCAACACCACAACGCTTCCCCTCCCCGAAGACCCGATGACGATCTGCGCGCGCCTCATCCAAGACGACATCGCAATCATGATCGAGCGCCCCGACGGAGACTACTACCTCCTCGCCGGCGCAGTCCTCCTCGCCGGCTTCTGGCGCCTCGAAGACAAATACGGTCTGCGTTTGTCCGAAATCCACACGACCGGCAACGTGCCGGGCTACAAAACCAAGCTCGAAAAGGGGATGATGAATTTCTTCCGGCGCCTGAAACCGTCCGACCCGGTGGTGAGGAATAACTATTTCATCCAGGTCGATGAACACCTGCCTTGGTCGAGTAGTATCGGCGACGAGGATAGCGATGGCGTGGGGTGGAATACGGCGGAGAAGAACAAGGCGATAGAGAATCATTTCTTTAGGTCGGAGAGGCAGTCGCTACGGCGGTTGCCGAGGTCCGGGGGGGTGGTTTTTACGATACGGACGTATTTTGAGCCTGTGGTGGAGGTCGCGAAGGAGGATTATGTGCCGGGGAGGTTGGCGAGTGCGGTACGGAGTTGGGGGGATGATGTTGCTGTTTATAAGGGGAGGGAGAGGTATGGAGAGGTGTTGTTGGAGTATTTGGATCGGATGCATGAGGAGCAAGTTAAGAATGGGTTGGATGTCGAGGGGGAGGAGAAGAGGAAGTATCCTTTTTGATCATGGGTGTTGTTTCATTTCAGGAGCCATGGAAGTGTCATATATTAGGTAGATGGTGGATGGGTTAACCTTCTTACTCGCGTTCTTGTCTGTCAATTACATACATACATCTATCAACCTCTTCAACATCATACAAATATCGTAGGTATACAAACCATTATGTATATTAAACAGCAGCAGTCGACCCTCTTCTCCCCCTCTTCCGACGGGCATACGCCCACTCCCGCTCTTGTCGCCACGAGCACTCATCATTAAACTCACAGATCCGGCACTTCCACGCCTCCATGACCTCGACGCCGCGCGGGTTGCGTTCCCCGCGCCACCACTCCATCTGGTCGCCCAGATACGACGTCAGAGTGGTAGGGTCGAAGAGGAATGAGCGACTGCCGAGCTCGCGCCGGGACGAGTCCTCGGCCGGCGTGGAGGAGATGTAGCGCGCTGTGAGAAGCGGGGAGAGCACGGTCGGATAGGGCTCGAGCAGGGACGGTTGGAATTCCGACGGAATGGAGGGCGCGACGGAGACGGTCGACGAGTGCGGGGGAGGGAGGAAGGTGAGGCGGAACTGCTCTTTCATGAGATTCCAGAGGCTGGTGAGGTTGTTGTGGGTGAGGAGCACGCTGATGGAGTCCTGGCTGGTGGAGGGAGCGGAGTCGGTGCCGAAGCTGAAGCTGATATCCGGCGACGGGGAGGTCCGTGTCGTGCTCGCGTCCTCCGGGGTGGGGATGAAGTCGGGGTCGAATTCGGGGGACGACGGAGCGTCGAAGAACTGGTCGTTCAGCCCGCCGACTTCCGAGATGAAGGCGTCGGTGAACGGACGCTGCGCGTCCAGACCGTACCGTGCCGCCAGCAACTCGATCGTGACGTCGTCGCTGGTGACCAGCCGATTCAACATATGATAGTACATCTGCAGCTGCAGCGATGTGGGCCGAAACGCCGTGCTCTTGACGGTAGGCAGCGAGCCACTGCCCCCGCGCGTCTTGATATCGGTCATGTACACGCGCGGGAGATGCAGCATCTCCGCTGTCGACTGACTCTCCATACTGAACGAGTCTTCCGACCCCTGCGCCGGCTCCTCCTCCTCCTCCCCTCGCCAGTGCATATCCGATAGCCGCCGACCCCCCTGCGACGGCGACAGTAGATAATCCGTCAACGACATCTGATACTCCGGCAAAACGGCCCTGGAAGCCTCGACGTCCGCATAATGTTCCGCCGCGGTGAACTCCAGCTCCGAGTCCGGACACTCATACGAGAGCTCATCAATCACCCCATTCACCAGCTGACCATCCACCACGCCCCAAACCTCCAACTCCCGAGTGAGCCCATACTCCCGCAGCGTGCGCAATCCCTGAATAACATTCCAGATCCGCAGCGCCAGCGCGTCCTCCCTCGTGGTAATCTCCACCGCCACAGTAGTGTAGACTTCATCCTCCAGCGTCTTATGGATCGAGGTTCCCGTCTTCATCGCTGGCGTGCGCCGCTTCCGCCCGAACTTCGTCAACGTATACCAATACTGCAGCTCGCACCACGCCGGCGAGATCAGATCCGTCACCGAGAAGGCCTTGTTCGGCGGCCGACGGAACCGTTCCAGCGGGGATCGAGCACCGGGTCCGATCGACGTGTCGACATAATTATTCTCGCCCTGCCCTTGTCCTTGTCCTTGTCCTACTTGTTGGTCCTGGTGACGCGCCGCCTCGCGCTCGCGGTCGCGCGTCCGCCCTTCGGTGGAATCCGGATGCTCAACTAATCGCTTCGTTGGTGAGATGTCAGCCCATCATGTCTATGTCTCGGAAGGGTCCTGATTACGAGATGACCAAAGCAACTGGGAAAGAAAAAAAGCAATCAGGGAATATTACCAAACGCGGCGTTCCCGTGGCCGTAACCGTAGCGTGGGTTCTGAGTTGGGTTTGGATTGACCCTACCCCCTGCCCCGAACCAGACAGGAGCAGTTGTCCTTGTGCCTGTAGTGGTAGGTCTGTTGATATTCCTCGTCTTCGCAACCTGCCACGGGGGCATCTGACGTCCCAGGACGCGAGGAACGCGCCCAGACGCCGGATCCCCATAATAATCCTCGATGTCTCCGAGGACGGCAGTGGTACTCGTAAATGTCTGCTGCGAGGGCGAACGCGGAGGAACGGGCGGGGGATAAAGGGGAGCAGCAGTAGTCGTAGTCGTGGCAGCAGCAGTGGCGACGGCGGGGAACGATGAAGTCGCGGGAGGGGCGACTTTGTCGAGGAGCTCGTTCAGCAAGGCCTCTTCGTCCGGGGTGAAGTCAGAGCCGTAGTCGCTGCTATCAGCGTCGGGGTTTATTGTTTGCGAAGGTGGTGGGCAGGACATGCCTGCAACTCGAAGGGGGAGATCATGTCATCTCATGCGCTGGTATGTGGAGGAAGAGAGAGGTGATGACGAAGTTGTGGTGTTCATCCTTTCGTCGGCGGTCGGATGGGCGGGTCTTCGGGTCGCTGACGTTACATTCGACAGGTTAATTTGTTTGTATTCAGGTCTCTTTTTCTGTCTTGGTTTGTTTAATATATTTCTATGTATATATATTGATGGTCTGTTCAACTCTATCTAGGGTATTGCATGTACATGTATGCTGAAAGACGCGCTAATCTATAATCTATCCTGAGCCCAACCCCCAAATGCCCCCCATCTATGTACCTGAGGTCTTGGAAAATGAACATAAGAAAAATAATGAATGAAGCGAATGAAAACCTGCTATGCCTTCATCGTAGCCCCCGACGTATCAAGTCCAACCCGCGAGATCTCAGCCTCGGCCAACTCGGCCGCCTCAACCTCCCGAGCAGCCTTCTGGTTCAACCAGCTGAGATACGTCTGCCAGCCGACCGCAATCACCCCCGAGAAGATGTTCCGGAACTGCGGCGGCACGTACATGAAGCTGAAGGCCGTGACGGCGGGCCACAGCTTCGCGCTGTTCGTGATGCTGACGGGGAGCGCCTTCTTCAGTCGTTCCCACGTCTCCTCCAGCGAGGCGCCGGACAGGAGAGAGTGCACGCTGAAGAAGTAGGTATTGAAGACGGGGGTGAACACGGCCTGCTGCACGACGACCTTGGTGAGGATGGAGAGGAATTTGGACGCAAAGTTAAAGTTGTGGTGGAGGAACATGAACCTTCAATGACTCAGTCAGCACGGCGCATGCAAAATCTTCTCCGAACAAGAGGAACTTACCAGGTATACGAGGGAATACTCGATCCCGAGCCGACAACCAGGTGTCGCAAGGTTCGCCACGGGTCATAGCTACCCTGGCTGGTCGCCGCATCTCCGTCTTTCTCTGCTGATTGCGACCCCTGGCTATCTTTGTTCTGGACCGACGTATTCTGCGACGGGAAGAGAAACTGCGCGCTCAAGTCGCCACACAGGTACACGATAACCGAACTCCATAGTTGCGTGGCATACGGTCGCCGTTCTTGAACGCGCGAGTATGACCGGCCCAGTCTGCCTAAGGGACCGTCGGAGATGATCTGTCGCAGCGATCGCGGGCCCGGGACGGCGGGGGCGGAGGGAGATGGAGAGTTCTGGGCGTTCGACGGGGAGAGTTTATTCTTGTCGGAGATCGGTTCTTGTTTTTGCGGCGATCCGGAGGACTGATATCTTCGCGATCGCAGACGAGAGGGGAGCGAGGATCGTGGAGAGAGGGTTGCTCGTCCCGTGAACTGGACCAGCGTGTGCCTCATTTCGCATGCGCTGGCGGTGGTAGTTGGGCCTCCGTCTTAGGGAGATCAACAACAAAGGTGGAAAAGAAAGCAGAAACGCTGCAGACCAGCGCCGGCGAGACAAGACCGTCCAAACGAGAGACAGCAGGTGATCGGATCGGGTGAGAGTAGGAGAATGGAGGATTACAAACGAGAAGAATAAAAAAAGGTGAGCGAGGAAGACAAAAAGTCGCAATCGGCGGCACCGCCTCAGGCAGGCCAAAGCCGAGGTCGGCAGTTTCCGGTCGGCGCGAAATCGCCGCAATCTTAACTCCGAGAGGAACAGGCAGTCGAGTCATTAATAATCTGATATTGTGGAGAATGCTAACTAAATATGCGGTCTATAACGATGACTCCGTCTATCATGCTAGAATCAAAACAACGCAATAACACTGGGTATATCAACATGGAACAAGTCGTGTAGAAGCCGATCAGGGCTGGATGCAGGTTTGGCCAAAATATGCCGAAAACAATGATATGAACAATTCAAAAAACAACTTTTTTTCTTCTCTTCCATCAATCACATCTCACGTGGACACGTCGCGTGTCTAACCATCGGTGGTTGGCAGAAAGAGTCAATAGATACTAAATATTATCCGCGATAGTAGTGCGGAGTAAGGGTGTGCGTATGTATCGGTGAAATCGAATAAAGAATTCTATTTGAAAGATTCCCGAGTGTTGACCCGGTCAACATCGTAGGGGTTCGCCTCGTAGATCGACTTGTTGGTCTGAGAGGCAACCGTGCGGACGGTCGACGCCCTGCTGCGGGTCTGGTGGATATTGGGAAGATCATCAACGTGGGAGTCGGATTCGCTGTCGTCGGAAACATCGAGGGCGGGCGCCTCCCGGCGATCGTAGGCCTCTTCGTCCTTCAGCGCTTCGGTCTCGGTCTCGGGCTCGGGGTCCTGCTTGACCTGCTGCAGCATCTTGCGCATAAACGCGTCCGACTCGGCGGCATACTTGCAGCGAGTTCGGATAGCGGGGCCGTACTTGTAGAACAAGAAGGGGAACGGCACGCAGGCAAGGGCCAGGAAAGCCGGGATAGACGAGGCCCAGTGGATACCCAGATCCTGGTACATGTAGGTGGTGAAAAGAGGGAAGACGGCGCCGAAGACCGAACGCAGCACGGAGTTGGCGGCCAGAACCGAGGCGGCGAAGATGGTGTAGGTGTCGATCAGGTAACTCATGATGCTCAAGAACACCAGCACCATGCCAAATCCGAACGGAGCACCGGCGGCAATACTGGCCATCCAGTGGATAGAAGGATAGTTGGTCCAGGCGAACCAGAACAGACCCACAGGAATAGCAATGGACGCGATCAAGCACGGCGGCAAACGAGCCTCCGGGGGAGCAAATCCGCCGTGGTTCGCTTCAGTCTTGACGTAACGCTTGTTGTCCATAATACTATAGGCCACCGCAGCCATCATACCAATCATGATGCCCAAGAACGGCAGACTTCCGATGCCCTGGTTCCAGCCACGGTACACCTGGAAAACGATGGGGTAGGCGGCAAACAGCATGTAAAGTGTGCCGTACACGATGGCCATGTACAGACTGAGCAGGAAAACGATGGGCTCCTTGAACAGCAGAACCCAGGGACGCGACAGAGCAGTCTTGAAGGCCGCCCCGAGAGTGGTTCTGCCCTGGTCGATGTCGAGCTTGCTCTTGTACACTTTACCGGTGAGCTCGGAAAGCCTTTCGGCACGGCGACGCAGAAGCACCGGGGCGTAGGTTTCGGGAACCAGAAGAGATCCGAGGATCCAAACGAAGCCGGAAAAGGCACCCAGGAAACCCATCACCCAGCGCCATCCAGCGTTCATTCCGAGGAATCCACCGATAATCGGACCGAGGACGGGGCCTGCGAGAGAATCAATTAGCTTCGGAAGAGCAATAGAAAATATTGACGATGGAGAAAGACGTACCGAGGAAAGGAGCAGCCGCGAACAAACTCATGGCAACACCGCGCTCCTTAGCAGAGAACATATCGGCGATGACACCACCCGCGTTAGTGAAGGGCGAGGCACCGAAAGAACCGGCGAAGAAACGAAGAATGATCAGAGTCCAGATGTTCTGGGCACCAGCGCTGCCAGAGTTGAAGGCAGTCAGGGCCAAATAGGTACCGAAGAAGACGACCTGTCGGCCGAACATTTCACTAAGAGGAGCCCAGAGCAGGGGACCTAGCAGCCAGGTTAGTGATATCATTCCCGGTAAACGTGGCCAGCAGTCCGAACATACCAACTGCGAAACCCAAGACGAAAAGAGAGACACCGAGGGTCGCGACCTCACTGCCAATGCCGAACTCCTTTTCGATTTCCGCAACACCGCCTGTATAGGCGGACGACACCAAGGCAACGGCCAGGGTTGCGATAGCCACCATCATCGTGATAGACCACTTCTTCATCGGGCTGAATTGCATGGGATTGCGCGGGTCGTCGGGGATCCAGGTGATGGAGTACGGGTCCTCCTCCGTTCCCGAGCCAGGGTATGGGTGATCGATGACATCTTGCGTCACAGCGCCCTGGTCGGAGACAATGCGCCAGTATGGGATATGGCGCGTCACAGGCGCCTCGATAGCGGAGGGCCCCTTCTCGGACATGGTGAAGCGGGGCAGCGATTGACGAGGTAGATCAGAGAGAGTCAAGGTGGGTGAGGTAGACGACAGTTGGAGTTAGATATTAGTTGGTGATATTAGATAGCGTAGCAACGGTCGAATAGAGCAGTCGATGGTGAGAATGAGGTAAATAGAGTCAGTGGAGCCGCTCAGGATTAGGTAGTACTCCGTAGAGCTAGTCGGTTAGGAAAAGAATGTAAGTGGTAGGAAAGCAGAGGGGAATCAGAATTATAGATGAAGATCAAACAGGGCTAAACTGTATGCAAGAGGGGGGGCAGCCGAACGGTTTATATACCAGGCGGCCCTCTAGCGGAGTCCAGGCCGAAATTTTTCATTAAGACATCGAGTGATGGACTGACTCCGTCAAGCTCTGAGCCTCGGATCTAAACCGGGTCAGGGACAGGACGACAGAGGGGCCCGAAAGGACCAACTACCCAAGGGGGTAAGAAAAGGGGACCATCAGCCGAAAACCAGACATTAACCCGGGCTTATGCAACGCATTAGGCCTATTCACGGCGGGTCGCAGCTGTCGAGACTGGTCGGATTCGGCCGATGTGGGCCTTTTGTCCGTTCCTCGTGGCGCTGCCGCGGATCAAATTTTTCAAAGGATTGGGGGATTTCCAGCTGGTCGACCGTCTGGCGGTGCAGTATCTTCAGATCGGTTGATCCCTCACGGTATGTCGAGGAAGACTGGTTCGTCTCAGCGGAAGCACTTGTCCGTTTCCCTCATGGATATGCAAATATGCAAAATGATCTCGGGGAGAATGCTGATTACTCATCGGTCAACGGCGCAGGAGCGGCTCCCGCATGGGGTTTAGTGCGAGTGGTATCCGGCTGGAACGGCATCTCCACCAGTTCCGACTTCAGCCACACTCGCTTTGTGCACATAACATGATAACACCAACAGGGGTTTTGGGATTTCCGGAGACGGAGAGGCTCTGGTAGATTACGAACCATCCAGATCGGACACTAGAGTATCTATCTTGTATCTACAATCTACCGGTTTCGACGTAGTAAACAGTACACCGTATGTTCTACTCCTACCCGACTGCCAAGTGATCTGATAGATGCTTTGCATACTTGGCGGTCTGCCGTCGTCAGTCATGCATCATCGTCATTTGATCTCGCCGCATGATCTATTTACCCTGGATAAGTTGATATCTACTTGGATAATGAACGCTGTATGATTAGAATGATATGTCACCTTGACCACGACCTGACCTCCATGATCTGTCGGGGTGTCCGTGTTAGACCCACTAACTGTTGGGCTTTTGTCCCGATAAGATATAGCCCGTCCAGGCCATCTGACTCATGTCTGAGCGCTGAACACTGATTCAGCGCCGCTGATTCAGTGTTGTCAGTGTTGACGAACTCGAGTTGTACTCCAGTATTTGTACACCCGGGGTTTGAAGAGCAAGTGTTGATTGAGTGGACTTAATCGAATTAAAGAATGCAACCTTTGTCCTACACCCACCGACTGTATTTCGCGGTTCGCATGTACCTTAGCTTACGCGTATAGACTATAAAGCATCCAGCTTAATCCAGAGATATATATCTCCTCCTCCAGAACAACCTCGGTCGGCACCACTCCGAACCAGGGACGAAGCCGAAAACCATCGGGGCCGGATCGGGCTGCTGCGTCCTTCCTACTCCTAGCGCCGACGGAGTGGGCTCGATAATTTTATTGCTTATGCTCAATCTTATTATCGGGAAATTAAATGAAGGATCCTCTGGACTGTGGGTTTGTCTTCTGTTTGAGATTGACGAATAGGGAATTCACCAGGCTTGTTCCCTGGATACTGAGAATTAATCTATCGTGGGGGGTGTTTTTTACCTCGGCTGATGCTGGCCTGATTACTGATCTACCCGATGGCCTTTATTTTTAATGAATTGTCGTTGCCTGCAGATTGTTAAGCAAGCCATGAGAGAATATAATCGTGGACAGAAGCTGGGAGAACTGGGTAGTTTTAATATTGAATCATCGTAAAGAGTGTTGCCTTTGATCTGCCGGCTAAATATAGCTTAGCCCGATGGAGTCCGGCACGATGGAATCCCCGTGGAAGATTCCTCCCCGTCGTTCTAGCCAAAGTGCCAGACCATCTCGAAGCTGGTGTTGGTCTTGAACTCCAGACCAACTCCAGTCGTTGGATTTGAAGCCAACTGACTACGGAGTACTATATTCCCGCCAAAATTGAAGCAGACTCAATCGTTTAGGATCATAATGTGAACAAGTCCTACCGCTCAGTACGATCATTGGGCTACCTACCCCAGATACCAAGGACACTACGAGACTATTACCCGAGTTCGACCATACCTTGCCATTCTATCCGCATGTCTTTCTCTTTCAGATCGAACCTATTCTATATCAAAGATTCTTTTTCTCGAGAGCGCTTTCTGTCCCGAGATCACTCGGCAACCCGAAACACTCACCTCCAAATGCCAAGTCGCGTAGTTAGGCGAGCAGCCAAGGAAATCGCTAACTTACGTTCCTTTCCTTTTACCGCGCTTTTCATTCCTTCATTCTTCTTCGATTGGGGCTCGTTTGTTCGGTGGCTAACAATGACTGCTATTCCAGCTTTGCACAGAGTCGCGACCTATGCGATCATCCGGGTGAACATGCAGCAAAGGGTTCGCATTCAAGATACCGTTGTCCATCTCCACAATTCGAGCTGAGGCGAATAAGTCGGTCTGTCGAGAACCCCGAGATAACTGCCAGGTCTGGATCTCTATGGTCCTTTCTGGCTTTTCTGGTTGGACTCGCATGGATTCAATGTCGCTGCTTGGCACATTCGTTCGCTGTGTCTGAAGATATCAGCACTCTAGGTCGAGTCTCGACACGATTTATATATAGATTCTCCCGGAGGGGATGTCGTTTGAGATAACTAGCTTCACCGTAAATACTATATTTTATCCACAAGAGCACCATAATCAAAGTGTCACGACCATTCAGGAAATTTTATAAGAGATATGCTTTGCTCTACTTAGGCAAAAATCCATGTAGATGTATCCAACTACCGTACCCCGTACCACCAACACAACAGCCCAGTCGCCACCCAAACCCACAGAGGACAAAGACAGCACACCCCACCGCGAAGATTGTCTTGGCCGGGACAATCGAATACGAAGATTCGGACATTCCCATCCCTTTGAGCCTCTCCCTCTTCTTTCTGAGATTTCAAATCATTTTGTCCGATAGTAGATTTAATACACTCCTCCCTTTCCACGAAAGTAACCCCGTCAAACTGTAAGACCACGTAGTTAGGCAAACTCCATCCGTCCGAGGAACAGAACCCCATCCCTTCTTCAGCATCCGGCATCGACAACAGAATCCATCCATCCATCCATTCAGTCTTACGAGACATCGAAAATAGCATCTACAATTTAAAACCAACACCATGGAGGAAGTGATCCCCACTAAGGTAGTTAGTTACTGCAGATAACGAACTAAGAACCAGTCCCCGATCTCCGAATGCAGGTCGGACGGAATCACCCGGGGTGCGTCATCCACACAGCAAGGATGGGACGACGTTACATTGGCTTCTTCTGAAGGATTTGCGGTCGCACATGAGGGTTTTCGACTGTTCGTAGAAGAGAGTTGCTCTTGAAGCACTTCGTAATCTGTACTCCGTAGCGACGTGTCGTATTCTCGGTGGCGATTTGGGTCTTGGGATCTCTGACGGTCTCTACGACATACAAGCGATCCTAGTTTTCTCTGTATGGAGAAACCAGTCAGGCAGATGCGACCGTGGTGGTCGCAGCCGACAAAGCCTCATCTACAAGACGAAATGATTTTGGGACAACACTTGGATTGAGTATTTCGTCATAGAGACTGCATTGCGCGTCTATGCCATCCGTTGGCTATCTCGACATAAGATCGGAGACGCCCTGAGTCAAATCTCAATTAATGTACATGTTCGGATGCATCCGTGAAACCCAATCCACCCAGCCGCTGACTAGACAGCCTACTATTTGTTGCGCAGCAAGAAATAAAAAACTTGAAACCCATAGCCGGAACCCATTGATATTCGAAAAAAGAAACCCGTCATGTATCGCCAGTAGTCATGAAAGAAAAAGCAAACAAAACCCCATTATCGCCTTCCCAGGAGCCAACCAGAAGAAAGAATCGACTCATTAGACATAAATCTAAGAGCGCTCACCACGGAGACGGCGGGCAAGCTGGATGTCCTTGGACTGGATGGTGACACGCTTGGCGTGGATGGCGCACAGGTTGGTGTCCTCAAAGAGGGAGACGAGGTAAGCCTCGACGGACTCCTGAAGAGCACCGATGGCAGAGGACTGGAAGCGGAGATCCGACTTGAAGTCCTGAGCAATTTCACGGACCAGACGCTGGAAGGGCAGCTTGCGGATCAGAAGCTCAGTGGACTTCTGGTAGCGACGGATCTCACGGAGAGCGACGGTACCTTTGGTGATCAGTCAGCAGGATATTCACGGTTTGCCACATAAGACAGATGATAACTTACCGGGCTTGTAGCGGTGAGGCTTCTTGACACCTCCGGTGGAGGGAGCGGCCTTGCGGGCAGCCTTGGAAGCGAGCTGCTTACGGGGAGCCTTGCCACCAGTGGACTTACCTGTTGAGGGAAGATAGGTCAGTAAGGGTTGATAGTAGGGCACGGGAGGTCGGCCAAGAGACGCGACCGTGACGCGAAACAGCGACACCAAGAGAAGGGACAGTGAGGTAAGGACTTACGGGCAGTCTGCTTAGTGCGAGCCATTGTAGTGGATACTCTTTGATGGAAACAGTCGAGTTGAAGATGGAAAAATGACGTTGAGGATAGAAAGTCGATGGAGAGACGATGAGATTGTCGACGGATGGAGGAGATGGAAGAAGGATGGAGGGGGCGGGTGGGGGAAGGTATTTGTAGCAAGCGAGAGGGTGGGTGGTTGATCTGGGAGTGGCTGCCTGCAAAGTTGGGTGGCCTTAGCGCCGGTTGGGTTTGATCAAAAAAACGCTCGGAAAGCAGCAGTCGGTAAGCTCTGATTTCCGGCCGTCACTTTGGCCTGAGAATCAAAGGGTGAAAGGGGCAAGTCACGTTGGCCCCTGCGCTGCGCTAAGCGAGACCGTCCGCTTCGGCCAATGGGAGTCCAGGATCACGCATCTAGAATACCTCCCTGCCACATCTTGATCCCAACCCCAGAGCTGGAATGTCGCGCAATTCACTCGATCAGACACATTCTACTCACTCACCGGAATGCTCCCATCATTCCCGCCATGCTGATTCTCATGGTTGGGTGCCGTCCTGGCAAGATCACCTGGCGACCGGCGGATCACCGCCGCCAGGTCACGGGACCACCAGATCACTTCCGCCGGACGGATCCTGCGCGCTGATTGGCTGATCCGCCAGGTGCAGTGTGATTCCAACGCGCTCCCCGCGATCCTCCGTTCGCTCAGCGCCTTATACAAATATCTCCCGTCCCAAGCACGCTTCTCCCATCTTTCCTTTTCCATCATTCTCATCCGTCATCCATCTCTCTCTCCACAATCTCTAAAACAACTCTATCTTCTTTTCCCTCTTAACTTCTAATCAACCTTCACAATGACTGGACGTAAGTTTATATTCTCTTCTCCACACAACATCGATCATCCTTCTGGATTCCATCTGGTCTGGTCGGTTCAAGAACATCCCAACTGACGCGTCTCTTCAATAGGTGGCAAAGGTGGAAAGGGTCTCGGCAAGGGTGGTGCCAAGCGTCACCGTAAGATTTTGCGTGACAACATCCAGGGTATCACCAAGCCCGCTATCCGTCGTCTCGCGCGTCGTGGTGGTGTCAAGCGTATCTCTGCCATGATCTACGAGGAGACCCGTGGTGTCCTCAAGACCTTCCTCGAGGGTGTCATCCGTGATGCCGTCACCTACACTGAGCACGCCAAGAGAAAGACCGTCACTTCGCTCGACGTTGTCTACGCTCTGAAGCGCCAGGGCCGTGAGTATTCCTCTTGTCTGCTCGATCCTCGATCCGTGTCTAACATCCCTCCTAGGTACCCTGTACGGTTTCGGTGGCTAAATGCTTTCTCTTTCTTCTTTCGTGCTTCTTTTTCTTTAGCCATCCTGCGCGGTCGGCGCGTCAGTTTGTCCTTCCGCAGCAGTGACGCGACGGGTTGCTTTTTCGGGTTGGTTCATGGTATGACTGGGACGTTGGGGTGTTCTTGATCTTTTCTTACAAGTGTCATGGGTCTCTGGGTTTCTGCTTTTTTCTTTTTTACGTATCTTACTTTACTATTCCACGTCCACTACTGGTCTGCTAGTGTTCGTGCTTGATTTTTCTGTATCATAAGCGGCCTTTATGCTTCTGGCTGGTGCCACGCCTAGAAAGTATCGCGTCCTACTATCGCGCGATCGGGTATGAATACAAACGCTTAAAAGGATTTTGCTCTCTTGTAACTTTTCTGTGTGGTTTTGTGTCTCCGTGTGGTCTTTGTTTATCGACGCGTATCCGAGAGCGCGTCGAGGCGGTGCTCCACACCCAGAGTCGATGCTCGCGCACGACGCTAGGCAGGCGTGACAACGACCAACTTCAGATTCGGCAGTTCGCTGGTAGTGCTAGGCTTTTCTCTACGGTGCTGGATCATGATGCTCTCTAGTATAATCCATTAGTTGGAAAATGTAGTTGGAAAATGTGCACTGTAGGACTTGCCTTGAATCAGGCTGTGTAGATTAATCATGTCGACTCTACGGTAATGCGCTTCGTCTGTATTGGTTTTTTTTTTTTTTTTTTTTTTTTTTTTTTTTGCCGTGTTCTACGTGTCGTCTTGGGCCTATGTACTCGATGTTTCGGTATACCGTGCGCTATGGCATCGGTGCTGTTACGTACTTGATATTTGCGTTTTGGTCAGGGGTTAAAATATAATTTTTAATCGGGCTCTTCATTCTTGGGGTTCCTCTTTGTTTTGGTGTCTTTTTGGGTGGATTCCCTGTTTTTTGGCAGGGTTGTGTTGTAGGGGGTAATAGTTATCATATGAGATATAGTGCACTATATATATACAACTACATCAATACTAGATCATACTAAACCTACACCCCAGGGATTGAACCAGGTGAATACAAGACAAACTAGGACATACCAAGTCACAGTAAGAAAATATACACAGAGAGATACCAATATACTGCCGCAGAAATCGCGAAAACGTGACAGACACAAGCCGCTGTCGCTGTCACACATCCCATCGCGGTTCCCGTATATGCGACAACCGGTAGGAAAAGAGCGGAAATGTAGCACATATACTGCCTACAATACCTACTTGGCCACATAAATGCCGTACAGAATACCAAGGAATAGCACCAGACGGTAAACCCATCTCCTACACTCCACAGAAGTCCCCAGATCAAAAGAATAATCGTCGCTGCAGCCAAATGGGCAGTTGAACCCCATTACTCCATTTGGGGGTTCAACCTTATCGGATTCCAGGGGTTCAACTCGCCCAGATCGGGATTAGCGGTTGTCTGACGGGCACGGGCCACTCGGTAGCCTGAGGATCCCAGCGTGACGGAGGTAACACCACCGTGGGCTTCTCCGGTCGCGAAGACCGTGTTGGACTGACCATGGTCCTTCTGCAGCGGAAAGGACGCTCAAAGTGGTACAGTATACCTGTTATTCCACATCCTCAATCTCCCTGTCGAGTGCATGGAAGACTGGATGCCCGAGGTGCATCAACAACCATCCTTATGATTATCTCAACTGATCGCATTCACCCATTTGGACCGTCACGAATAGCCCTACGTGCACCCAGTACGTCTACATTGGAACCATGTTGGTGCTTCACGGTATTCCTTGTGTTTATTCAGCAGAGCCTGGGTTGCCCGGTGGTAAGCAATGAACTCGACAAAATAAGCCTATTCTAACGTTGCCAAATATATATCAGCATCGGCCGAGTTTCAAGCCTCCCTCACGCGAACCCGTATTTACTGTCAAACGCTGGCCACTGGCGAGCCACGGCATCGAGGCCATACCACAAAGCTACCCCGGATGATCTCTCAAAACCTGTCTCGGGAGGGAAGAATGCCGGCGTTCTCATAGGAGCGGAAAGTGCTGATCCAGGCCTCGTAGGAATCATCGATACGATTCCAGCCGAACTTTCGTGCCTTCTGCACACTGGTCATGAATGCCGCACCAGGGGTGCGAGGGGAGAAGAGCCAGTCCAGCATGACGAAACCGTGCTCCTGGAACGAGTCGACGTTGCCACCACACCGTGCCACGATGGTCCTCCACACGGGCCGTTTGTCCTGAGCCCATTCAACCAGGCTCAGCTGACGAGGCCCATTCTCGGCCGGGGCCTCGGATGGGTCCATAGGATTGCCAAAGTATTCGCCAAACAGCGCCCAGAGGAACCTCCAAACCACAGCGTCGCCATTTCCGTGATTGAATGCCTGATCCCTGCAGTTGTCCTGCGTCGCAGCCCAGACGTGCATGTCCGCAATACTGGGGGCGTAGCACTGGCCCTCAACCTGGTGATAGCCATTGAAGTTCCCTGGCCATTTTGGGCTCTCGCCCAGTTCGTGGCAAATGAGGAAGTACTGCGCGATAGGCAGGGCTTCATTCATACCCAGGACTGCGAAGAAGATTAATCACCATGTACCATGCAAAAGAACAACAAGAACCTACACTGCGGTGTGAACCCGACAATGCCGAAGGGCCGAATGATATTATAGTGCCAAGTCTTACGCCGCTTCTGGATGGCAAACAAACTGTCCTCTTGTTCGTAATAGAACAGCGTTTCTTTACCCGGGCCATCATAGCGTGGGAGGCTTTCATAACAGGGGGTGCTGAACCCCTGAAATTGTATGCCATAGTGCTACCATGTGTCAGCGAGTTGCACTTTTCCTTTCCTTTACTTTTTCTTTTCTTTTCTTCTTTTCTTCTTTTTTTCTTCTGGGACAAGAGCGCAGTGATGGGACTTATACCTTGCCGCCCGTCTGAAGAACCACGCGTTGCAGGTTCGGACAAGCCAAATCAATAGCCTCCAAGAAGTTGCGGAACAGCGGGCAATTCTTCTCCGGAAGTTTGCTGAGCTCACTGTCATGGACATACGAGGTGAAAAATGCATGAGTAACATCCTTGCAGACGTCGATGTTGCTCACGATCGCCTCTGTGGGCTCAAGAAAGTCAAGTGCAATGAACTTGACGCGAGGATCAACCCAGTGGGTAGAAGGAGGCTTGCGCGACGTGATAATGATTTGGGACCTGATGGACGCCATGAGCAAACGGCGAGGTTCTCCGCAGAGCGAGAGCTATGGATAGACAAACCACTCATGTTGGGGTGTACGAATCAAATGCTCAATGATCGCATGGCCCGTGATTCCATTGGCACCGGTGACAAAGGCAACCCGAGGAGATGGAGGAACGAAGAGCGTGTTGTTCATGATGATTTGTTGAGCCTAGTACTACCTACCTGGTAGTATACAGTCAGCTGCTGAGTCTAGGGCGCCGGAATGCGGTACCTACCCAAATTGACTGCAGTGAGAGAACTGAAGAATGATACCATCCATCATCTGAGGGGTACAAACATCATTCTTTTATAGCACACTGCGTCCTCGATACTCAGAGGCCCCGATGCTCAGAATATTCCCTCTATATCAGGCCAAGCCTGGGATGCAAAGCAAACAAAACAAACCGCGGTGTAGAGAGCGGAAATGATCACCGCCAAGCCTAACTTCATCTCGACGCTTCTCATCCTCCACTACTGCTTGTCCAATGACCACACGATGCCCTACGCCTTCATCAAAATCATGTGTCTCACTGCCCCCGCCGGACAGAGTCCGTAACTAGGAAAAGGAGATCGATCGGTCCGCCAGATCACTACGCGCTCTGTTATGTCCGGTGTTCCGTGAATCTGGCCGGTTCTTTGTCTTGCTTTGTGATGTCTCTGGAGATGAAAGCCTGCATGGTCTAGTCCCTGGGACAACCAATTGAAGACGGCCTGAAGACGCTCGTCGTGCCGTATATCCGGAGACTCCGATATCAGCGCCTGGATCACGTCTCTCGAGGGCGCTTTTGTCAGCGCCGCACTCTTTCACCGGCCCTTCGAGGTCGGCTGCATCCGTCAGAAGTGGACTCTATGCGATTGATGGATGGGCACATTCCCACCTAGGCCGGCTCTTTCCTCACCAAACCTCAGGATGGACTATCTTGGCATTGCTCATTAGCTCACCGATGCAGACACGTCTGGTCATGTCTATCCTTCTACTGAAATGTGGGCTCACACCACTTACCAGCCATAACCGTGTACTTCGGAAACGCTGAAATGGATCGATCGGGAGGTTTCTGCGGGTGATGCCATGCCTTTGAAGGATATTTAATATCTACCATCCCTGAGGAGACTTATTCAATGTTATGCCTTCATCTTCTTTTTCTGCAGTGCATTCTTGGCTTTTCTCTTGCACCGGACAGTTTAAACAACGCCATCCGACAAGTGAACAGCATGAAGCACGCGTACGGGGACTGGACCAACTATGACGCTATTGTTCAGAATGGGGGTTTTACACTTCAGCAAGCACTGCAATGCGGTGGCTCACATGTCCGAAAGTCCCAAATGGTCATGAAAATCCTACACCAAGTCAAGGCCGCGCATGGCACCTACAGTCTCAACCATCTGCTCCATGTAGAGGACGACGATGCCACGAAGGAGCTCCTATCATACAACGGGGTCGGACCCAAGACCGCTAGCTGTATATTAGCCCTGACACTCCACCGCAGCAGATTTGTTGTCGACACGCACATTCATCGCATTACTGGTATCTTGGGATGGCGGCCAAAGGAGGCTACGCAGAACAAGCTCGCGCTCATCTTGAATATGAAATTCCCGATCAGCACAAGTAGGCCCTCCACTTGCTCCTTATTACGCATGGTGGGGAATGTCTACAGTGTCGCGCAAGTGGGGGAATGGAGCATGATTGCAAGCTTCAACGGTCCATCAGAGACCATAAGCCGACACTCAATGTCAGCGAAGGGGGCGAGGATGTAAAATATCCGCCATGAATTCACTGCTTCTTAGTGATTGCATTTATCTTCTTCTCAGTACCTTTAGCTTTACCCGCAAAATGTTAATCGGACGGAACATCCAAGACTATGCTTCCTTTTAAGTGGTCTCGGGGATCTGGTCGGCGTAGTTAGACGCCTTCGCTGGAGATTCTTTGCCTCAGTCATGGCCTCAGTCGCGTTGGGAGCCATCAAATCGGAGATATCCCCAATGGACGAACGGGTTTCTGCCGAGTAGCAGCGTCGGTGAAGGACGGTTCGACCCATCATGCCTATGTACGGAGGCAGAGAGGTGCCAACGAGACTGCGACAAGATCTACGCCCCATCCATATCTACGTCCTATACCGGAGCGACTGATCTCGACCAGCCATCTCTGTCGCCTGGTTACGCACCGACAGCTGCTCACTGTCGAAGATCCAGCAACAGTGATCGATTGTTTGTCGGCTTGAGATATTAGGACAGGACGGGAGTCACGACCTTCATGTCCTGATCATCGTCGTCGAACTGGACAGAGTGTATGATGTCCATGCGTCGGCGCATCGAATTACCAACACAGTATACACCGTGATTTGCGGCGAGCGATCTAAAGTCCTTCTTTACCCAGCACCGATCATAACTGCCCAAACACTAAGTTAACGAGTGGCCAGCGTGCATGGAACTGCCAACATGAATGTCCCAAGAACGATTCTGACACCACTGAGATGCCAATATCCCCCTCCCCCAACCCACAAACAACCACAATTTCACACCCCCATCCACCTCTATCCCAACCCCAACTCCTCAAGACGCCGTCGCAAGCGCAGCAGTTGACTCCATCACGGCTTCCGCCCTGTCTTCGCCCGGTCTTGCTTCCTGCCTTAGAACGGTAACGACACCCAGCACAGCACAGACAAGGCGAGCAGCATATCAGGGATCAAGGATCAAAGACCAGCGTATCGCCAGAAACCACCTGGCGCAGCGATACGGTGTTAGGGCGGAAATGTAGGCAGAGAGCATGCCACCCGCTGCAACTGCAGCATGACGGGGCGTTGCATGAGCCGGAAGCGCGGGAATTGCCGGCGAACAACACCGGCCAAATTCGAGGTGATCGTAGATGATTGTGTAACAGACTAACGAACAGTAACTATCTAGTCATGACAGTCTGACTGTTTATTTAGTAATTAATAATTGATAATTACATGGTTAGTTACGAAACCCGAGGAATCCCTCGAGAATGTCCTCCGTAGAGAAGAAGGCAATCAATCGTTGATCGGCCATTCAGCCACCACCATCCCTAACCGTTGCCCGTTACACGTTGAAAATGAAAAGTGAAGAGAAAGTGAAACCCACCCCCAAACACAACCCAACCCAGCCTAAATCTCCCGAAGGAAGCCCCATACGACCCGTATCCGTGGAAATAAACCACCCTGTCCCGAGTATATTCAGTACTGTGTACTCTGTATGAAGGGAAAGATCATGCCATAGGTGGTAGCGAAGCAGAGTAGTGGATCATCTGACTCGATCATTGCCAAAAGAAAGCAACCAGAGAGGAGAACGATAACACCATTGACTGGAGAAGATTGAGTGAGTACTGAGTACTCTGTAGACCGTAGGAAGAAGAAAAGACGGAAGGAACAGACTCCACAATCTTCCTATCCAGGCGCCCCAGGGACCAACCAGTAGGTATCCATCTGCTCCATACTGTCCCCTCATCTCCATCTCCATTCTCCACAGCTGTACGCATTAGCAGCCCCATCAGCTCACGGGATCGTTCGGCCGATTGCTTTATTTTCAGTCTTTAAACATTAATCCCATTATCTAGAGCGTTGAGGATTGAGGGGAAGCCCCTCAATTACGAGTCCCGTTGGTGACACTAGTAGTTACTTTTTACGGTATACAAAGTACGCAGTAGGGGTTTATTCATCTGTCTATCTACGCTAACTATATGCAATCTCCCTCGTTAGATAACTAGTGAAACAATAAGACAGCAAAGAGTCGACATAACACACATCAAACCCCCAAACCAAGCACATGACCATCTACAGTGTACAGTACCTACCAGACATCCAACAGACAAAAAAAGTACACCGTTAGACCCGAAGGCAGAAACCGAATCACCCGATCAAAGTGGGCCTCTAACTATGTACAAGACCCAAAGATCTGAATTTCTCAATAAAGATTAAAGCTCTATCTATCTGATCAATCATTATCCGGTCGGTTGGGTGAAATGCCCCTCTTACCCCTAGTGGATACCGGTGGTTGTATAGTACGGAGTAGGTTCAAGGGTAAGTAAAAGATGAAACAAACGTTAGGTTTGGAACGGATGAAACCGATCCACCTATACGGATGAAAAAGAGATGGAAATTGCAATTGCAGGGGACCTGAATCGCGTGTATCCCGTAATTGCGAGCATTGTTGAAATGTAAGGTAGTTTCTATCCTTGGTACGGAGAGCAAATCTACTAACCAACCCCGGGGAGAAGGGAGGAGGGGGATAAGTCATACATACGCACATATAATATCATCATTCATCATGTCACATACTCCATTACCCTAGACAGGGGCAGGGGGGTATGTGGAGTGGATAAGGAAGTGGATGGGGGGATGAGAACAAAGAACCGAGACGGAGGAAGCTGGGAAGCTACGGGCCGAGCTAGGGAAAAGCTCCCTCAATTCTTCACGCTCAGTGGATGCGGTGGTATGCGCGATGGTGTCATGATCGACAAGTGGGTGTGACAGACACAGGGGTTCATTTCAATTTCATTTTTATGCCTGGTGTTCTATTCTGTAAGGAATGGGATATTTCATTTAATTAAATTTACTTCGTCCAGCCTCCTCTTCTATCGGGCAGAATCGTCCACCCTCTCATTTAAATCCATACCTATACCTCTACCTAAAGGAAGGACTGTAGGTACCGAGTACACTGCATGCGCCAGAACAAATCACCGTCCAACTATCAGAGAACGCATCCACTTTCTTCAAGCCACATCCATCACTTTGGCTGTACGTCCCCTCCTTTAATTTCTGTCTTACCACCTATCCTCGGTAGAACTGATACCAGCGGATATCTATCAACCACTAGTTTAGGGATAGAGTGTCAGGACTCAGTATTCGCTGTGATTGTGATTGTGAACTGATTATTGGGAGTGGAGCACCGAGCAGCCAGCCCCATCCAGTGGGTCCCAACTACACTAGGCACTGCGTAGGTCTCCGTCCGTAGGGAGGAGAACCGAGTCTGACAGGGCCATCTCATTAGCAGGCTGATGATTCCGCCTGGTCCATCCAATAGTCAATAGACAATCCTCGTACGCAACCCGGTAGGTGGGTGGCCGGGACAAGTGGACAACACCTACCTAACCTAACCTAACTAATGCACAGGGACTCTGTAAACGGGGATCAAAGGGAGGGGAAAGGGTCCCGCCGTTCTGCAAATCTGCAGATATCCTCGATAGCCGGTAGCTTTGAGTCCATCTTCGTATTGCCCTTACGGAGTTGGTGGTTAGTGCTCGCTCCGTCTTGACTACGGTAGGAAAGTCCACATCAGCAATGGCATGGCATGAGCGGGGAAAGCATGGATCCATAGGACGGAACAGATTACGATGAACACGAGTTAGAGATTCATGGGACATGGATGCTCATCCTGGGGATGCACATCGGAGTACGCAAGACAGAAGTATCATTAATATCATCCATACATAATCCCGAGTAGTTATTGTACAGCATCTGAGTAGTTGGAGGGATTCCCTCAGACCCGATCTAATGATCTCAATCTTCCGTCAGGAAAAGCTCATCGCCTATCTACTTCCCTTCTGACTTCTGACTACTGACTTCTGATCTTCTGACCTTCTGACGGACTTCTGACACCATACACCGTAGACCTCCATACTAGGATAATCGACTGCGTATGTCTACTTCGTAAGTAGCTAGGTAGCCAGTCACCGTTAACAAGTCCCCCAAAGTCAAAACTGTACTTTTGCCCACCCACAGTACAAATTCACCCACAGTAAGCAATCAATCAAACAAGCAAAATCCCCACAAAAAGCACCCAACTCCCGCGTTTCCTTCAAAGTTCAAACTAAAAACCAAAAAGCAAGAACAGACACTCCCAAGCTCGATGGACCAATTGGCGAATAAAGGACCGTTGGGATCTGGTGTGCGCCCGAGGAGAGAGATCGTCCTTTTGCTTTTTCCGTTTTGTCTTTTGCTTTTTTACTTTCTGTATGTATGGGGATGCTTTTTAATTTTTCTACCGTCTTAATTTTTTTTTAAAAAACCACAATTTTGTCGACACGCATAATGTCCTTCCTTTCAGATTAAGGGTGCATGCGATGGGTAGATGGTTGATCCCTCCATCTCCTACCTGCGGAATAAGGTAGCTGTACTCCGTCGTTAGCGGTGCTGGTGCAGGTGTCAGGCAGTCAGTCAGCGAGGCTTATTCTTGTCTCGGAGTCTATAACTATAACTAGAAGCTACTACTGTACTGTGTACTGTAGGTGATGGATGATTTGTGCATTAGGATATATTGATAATGTACAATCATAAGTAATATATAGTAATACAAACAATTTGTACCTCGTCCAACAATTTGTACACCCCACCCAAACCAAGACCCATGCCAAACCAATGCAAATCACCGCGAACAGCAAACAAGACCGGAAATATGCTCAACATCATAGACAAGTAATCATACAGAAGTAGTAAGTATAATACATCGTGACGGAAGGATTCGACAAACAGCGAAGATCCCCTCCACGTAATAGTAATAGTCAATCGTCATCGGCTCGAAAACAAAAAAGACAGGACATGAACGGAATTTGCTTCTTTTGATGCAACCAGTGTAAAAAAGAGAAAGCCAAAAAACAAAAAAAAACAAAAACCCACCCAAAACACAATCGAAATCTATGACCCACTCGAGAAATGCCACAAAGAAAAAAACAAACCAATCAAATCCATGGAAAAGAGCCTGCTTTCTGAATTCATAAACACCCGTTGCCAAGAAGAAAAACCAAAACAAATAGTAATAGTCAGAGCAAACAGCGTATGCGTCATAAGAACATCCGGATGGATGGTGATGCAAAGGAGGCAGAAGATGGATGGAAACAGAAACCTTCGCGTCGGGAATACGTCATTGTCCCGACGGAGCTGCGGTGATGTCATCATTGCTGATTCAGGCTGCAAGGCCATTAAGACCATCGCCCGAAAAGGCAAGACTGACCGGCGATCCGGAAGAGTTAGCGAGTCCTTTCCTATTTGGGTAAGGCCTATGACGTCGGAGGCTTTCTCTCGTCATCCTGACTCAGGCCGAAAGGGTCAACAGCATCGCCGGTGGAACCCAAGGGAATAAGGCCGTATTCGAAATTACCCTGTCCATCCAGAGAGAAGAGGTAGGGAGAATGAATGAGAGTGAGAGAGGAGGGTCAGGCTGCCCACACCCCCCCCTGGTTCTCCCGTCGCATTTACTCCCTGCCCTTCCGTCGCTGCTTGCCCGGCCAATCAACTTCGGGATGGACCACTCGCATGTGCCGGGTGAGCGCATCATTGCGTGAGAAGGTCTTCTCTTCCGTGCACAGATGACACCGGACCTTCTGCTTGCGAGCGTTGTGGATCGTATCCTCATGTCGGGTCAGATCGTAGGGCCGCGAGAAAATCGAATTGCAGGGCTTGCCCGTGGAAGGATTGATTCGCTCACACCGGTGGGGGCCGGCCTGAGAGTTACGCGACGTTGTGTCCCGGCCGACAAGGTGGCCTCCAGGGGTCGTCTGACGGTGGGCCTCGCGCTTGTGCTTTTGGAGCCGGGCGGGGGTCTCGAATCGTAGAGTGCAGCCGTGATAGGTGCAAGTGTAGGTCCCGCTGTCCGCGGAAGTATTTCCCGGCCGCGTAATTTCCTCGTTGACGGGGTGAGCCGCCAATTTCGGCTGAGCTGCCTGAGGGGAGGTCATCTCAGTGGTGGGGAGCGCCACATCGCTGCTCGTTGACTCGAAGGTGGGCAGAGACGGGGGGAAGTTCG